GTAGTGGAGCGTTCTGAGACGTCTACCCGACAATACGGTCCTGCAATATTGCGGCTTAATACCCAAAATAACGATTTTTACCGACAACTGATAATGAGCGATGAAGCCCACTTCCATATGAACGGATTTGTTAATAAGCAGAATTCTCGTATCTGGGCATAAGAGAAGCCTCGTGTCATCCATCAACGACCACTACATCCTCGTCGAGTCACATTTTGGTGCGGTGTTTGGTATGGAGGTGTCATTCGACCTTAGTTCTTTGAAGACGCTGCAGGTAATTCACTTACTGTCACTGGCGAGCGCTACTGTGATATGCTACAAAACTTTCTGGCTCCTCAAATCTAACAATTTAACTTGCAAAACATGTGGTTCCAGCAGGACGGAGCAACATGTCACGCAGCTAGGGAAACGATGAATATTTTGAGAACAATATTTCCGGGACGTTTAATTTCTCGATTTGGTGATGTCAACTGGCCACCAAGGTCAGCGGATTTAACGGATCCTGACTTTTTTATGAGGATTTTTGAAAAATAGGGCTTATGCCAACAAACCAAATACTGTAGAGCAGCGGAAGAGCAATATTACGGAAGCGATTGAAAATATTCCTCCCGAAACGCACCAAAAAGTGATGGAAAATGTAATCAAGAGGGCTCAAGTCAATATTATTTTTCATACATAATTTCTAAGTTTCAATAAAATATTAGGATGAAAAAAAATGGACGTATTTTATTTCAGTTCACAAATAATATTCAAGATACAGTCAGTTAGATATCGGCCACCCTGCATTTCCAAAAGAACAATTATTTTTGTTTTATATCTTCGAAAGCGTTTGAGATATTATTTCTAATGTTGGCTTGTAAGATGATATAAAAAGACGTACTTTAGTATAAAATATTATATTATATTATTGCGCCACCAGTGACGTCCCCGCAAGCATGATTTAATATCTTTTACAGAAAAGGGATATGCTACTGATATTTTCACGTATGCTATGCAAAGTTGCTTTTTGATAAAAAAATGTGTGACGATAAAAAGCAAGATAGGGTTTTATGTAGCCCGGATCGAGCCACCCGGAAAAACATTCCCATTGAAAAATACTATTAGTGCACAATTTTTTTTCTATAATATGAAAAGGTATGTCTGCTGGGGCGCCACTGATTACACAAGAAAATAACGTAGTAACTGAAATTTGTGATTTTATATGCTCTAATAATATGCCAAAATTAATACTCAACCTAATATATAAAACATGAAAATGAATTTTTTTTCTTAAAAATTCAACACCCTGTAATTAAAAATATAAGCTAGCGTGAACAGTGGCGTTGGACCTCCGAACGAAAAGCCAAAAAGAGAAAAATCGCTCGTTTTTGAAGGCTAAGACGCTGCTGGCTGCTCATTTCCAAAATAATTGGGGAGTTTGAATATTGGAGGCTGGGGGGTATGGGGGTAGGGTTGTAATTTATTACATGTTTGGTATCAGTCTGATCCAAGTAATTATACGCTTATATAATAGCCACATAATCTAATACAATTGCCAATGAAATAAGTTTGATATGTTTTATTATATTTATGTCGTCTGTGCGGTAATCCTTGGCCCCTCTATAACTCGTAAAGTACAGTACAGATGTTGGTGATGGTGTAGGTATGACACATTACTGCCAAGCAAAGGGCGAAAGAGCTTATAACCTTAGAAAATATCTGTTTTTCCACGTACTTTGAGTTTTGAGTAGGTTCGATGTAAAAAACTAGTAATATAGCTCGTTCAGCAGCTGTCCATGGTTGGTCGTCTATGGTCGGACAAACGAAAGCTATATCGCTAGTTTGTTCAAAGTCGAGTGACCATATCGACCACAATCGGCGGCATCTAGCGGCCACACTGGTGAACCGGCTAACAATGCGAACTGACATACAGTTCCAACAGACGACTTGCTATTTTCACTTTCGCAGTGGTTGATTCTGGTGATAGATGGCACAATCCCAACGTAGTATCCAGACCGTTTGAGTATCTAAAATTTCAAACATTTTGTTATTCAATGCACGGGAAATACTGAATCAATCTACTTGCATCCATTTTTGGATATTAAAACGATCCGGACACGTTATATTATTCTGTTCCTTCTTTCCTAGATGTCCCTTCCCGAGAGATCCCAAAAGCATTCTTCCCAAACCGAACTAGAGTCAAGAAAGGGCTCGTACGAGCCGTACGTGGTGATCAATCACACTAGAAAAATTGTTCAATCCGGAAAGTCAACGGTGATCTATCTGAAAAGAGAAGATGGTGATGACAAAATTAAAACTAAGAAGACTGCCGAACATACAAGTTGTTGTACAAAATGCAGACAGAAGTTGGAAAAGAAACTAAAAACCGACGAGCAACCAAATGCTTTACATCTCTGCAAGTCCGAAAATGACTTATGTGACTTTAGAAAGGTCTTACGGCCGGTGAAGGAGAGGTCAAAATTGACTAGCACAGGTTTGGGTAGATGTAATACTTTCGTGGGTTGCACATCTGAAGTTTTAAAACGAACTGACTTCGGGGCTCGAGTCAGAGATAGAAACGTGGCAGTTCCTAATCACATTCCCGTTCGAACCTATGTTGATAACATTGAAGTTCACAAAATGAAAAATAGTGCTGATAGGATTGTATTTAGTGATAAATAAAATTGAGTTTAGTTTTTGGCAATACTGTTTTTTCGTTGTCCCACAAATATTTTGATAGTTACTGACAGGTTTCTATCAAACGTTTCATTATGGATCATCTAAACGAGCAATATTTGTGGCACGGTCATATATCTTGGATAAATCCGCTATGTCTCTACTATCTCTTGGCAATATTGTTTGCAATGAGTAGACACATACCTGGTCAGTATTTTTCACCAAAAGGACTACAAAATCAGCACTACATGAAAATAGGTCGAAAATGTCAAAGAGTAGGAGACTAGAAAAATATTTCCCGCTTAGAACCGTCATTATAAACTTTTTTATTTGATTGCAATATTTCGTAACTAGAATTATTTGGTGTTATTCACGAATTAAACTAGAGCAGTGCCTAAAGTTCGCGCATAACTAATGAGTTTAGGTATACTGGGATAAATGAAACTATATTTTTTCCTACGTGACAAAGTGATCACAGATCTATGTATATTTGGTAATAAATCCAGATACGAGTTCGTACCATTAAAATTTGCATTACTTTCGGTAATATTTCCTTTTCTAGAATGAAGAAATACTCTTTCCAAGTTTAAATATCTTGGAGGTCCATGTCCTGTTAGCGTTCAAGAAGTTTTATATACTATTATAAATTTTATACTGAGCTTACATTTGAGTAAAATTTTCTCAAATAGTGAACGTCGTTAAAAAAAGTAGCATTAAGTTTGTAAGTACATATATATTTATTTTATGGAAGCTCATTGTTGTAATTTTTACTAATATCAATAAATAGAAATAATTCCTCCATTACATATCATAATCATGTTTATCTAAATTACCGAGAACCGTTGATGGATTGGCGTTGTACAATGGCCTCTTGGAGCACTAGTACTAGTACTAGTGCGAAAATCAATTTCGGTCTAACAAACATGATTAAAAATCGCTTCAATATAAACCAACCTTAAAATACTCTTGCAGAGCAAGGATCTGGCTTTTATTTATTAACTTGATGACCTCAAGAATTATGGTTTTTAATCGAGTTTTTAAGCATTGAATATGTGTACCTGTTTTTAGGGGTTTTTTAGGCACTAAAACGCTTATAACCCGAAAATGGTCCAAAAGTTACTGGTTGGCTTGTTGTTCAGAATGATCCAAAAACATCTGAAAAAATATGTCCGAGCGGAAAAAACAGTAATTTGAAATTTACTTAAACAAATCTGATCCTTGCTACCTAGCATCTTGTTTCATGTTAAGTGACATTTAACAAACGTGATTATAAAGGAAATCGTCTAGATTTTTGTCTTGTCTAATTCCCCAGCATCTGTTTATAAATGATCACTGGATATCGTGGAAGTCATTAGTTGATCAGTTTGGAATAAGTAATTGTAGCTGACAAATTCCCAACATTTTCAAATATTTTTATTTGATATAGTGACAATCATATAATAGTAAGAATTTCTATAGTCTGCTCAACTAGGTATTTTAGACCTTTAGCTGAGAATCTACTCAGATCACGGTACCTTTTTAGAAAAACTGTGACGAATTGATACATTGGATTGCTGATGGAGAATGTTTCGTATTGTTCACCTTTCACCTTCTAATAGCCTTAATAGTAGCTGTTCTATAAAAACTAAAAACAAAGCTGTCTCTGATCCAAGCAATGCAGGGCTGTGATGATCTGATAAGGCAACGCCTACATCTAAAAAAATTGTTCTGGCTCACGAAAAATTGGAGAATCCTGTATTGCAAAAACTGTATAGTGACGAGAAACGAAATTATAGACTCAATATATCAAAAGCTAACAATGACTATTACATCTATAAGATCAGTTTTTTAGATTTTTACATAATAGCCCCATTGGAGCGACTGAAATATACTGGGTGATTCGTTGTGACTGTCTTGTGAAAGAAGTATGGAACATACAACAATGTAACGTGACATAACATCGACGTATTTTCTATTTAAATCCAGGAGCGAATCGTAAGGAAAATGTTTGTTTGGTCTGAACGTTTAGACACCCTCGATCAGTTTCTATCTTTCCCACCATATCAACATAGCTATATCGTTTTTCTTTTTAAATCCAACAAAATTGCTTGTGTATTTTTTGTATGTCAGTCATTACATAGCTTATACTGAGGTAACAATAGCGATTATAATTTCCAATCTAATTTATTTAACTATAAAAAATGATACATAATGTAAAATTTGCTTGCCGTTCAGCTATGTTCTTTATTGAATGGATCACTAAAAAGGTAATCATTCATGGTGTAACATCACAGAATGGGTTTCAAAGGTTACAGTAATCTTTCAGTACCATTTAAGTAACAGGTTCTTACGTTTCTTGTTTTCAGCGATGTAGTGATTCAGAAAAATCACAAGAAGAATTAAGCAGTAAGGTAAAAATGTTCAAAATGCTTGGTATCAGTGAAAATATTGTGATATTTTAGGCAAAAAAATTAGAAGAGCAGAACCGCTGTTTCGAGTGTGGTATACGCTGCCAAAAGGAGCAGATCGAACAACTAGATAGGCAGTTTAGCGAATTTGTAGGTTGCTAAAATGACCTACATCAAACACAGTTTTTAGTCGTATAATCATCAAGTTGCTCCATACAAAGTAGTTGCCGGTGAATGGGTTTTAGGACGGAAAATGCCGATAGATGATGTTTTAGGCAGAAAAGCTCTACATAGTTATATCATAATAATACAGGATGAGTTTTTAGTGTGGGCTTGCTGGTTAACTTCATTTTTACGCATGTATCTAAAAAAAGTTATTGTATCCAACAGCATATTCCTTGGAAAATGTTTTTATCTTTACCGAGTGATTCATAACTAAATCGTGACCCTAACATACATTTTTTAAATGAAAAGCTCTACATTTTATTGAAGATTTGGATAGATCCTCTAAAAGGAAGCGGTTTTATAGGACATACTATCGGTTTCTTGAGATATCGGACAATCTACCCAAAAAAAAAGAAAAAAACAACTTTGATAACTCGGATCTTCGCAACTGTTATAGCTATAGTACTAGATTTATATAGAATTCTATAATCTTAACTGACATTTCTGGTTATACTTGGCCACTAATACGTAGTATTTTTAACTAGTTGAAAGACAAGTCAGTATTGAAACAAAAATGTAAACAATGCGAACAAGGTTGTATGAATTTAATGAGCGAAAATCGTACTTTGAAAGAAGAGATCCAGTCTTTCGGAAAAGAAAAAGAGCGACACGAGAAGGAGTGTCGGTGTATTTTAGAAGAAAATGAACAGTTGAAATGTCAAGTTAAGGAATTATTGGAGAATTTAGACGTATTAGATAGAGATAAAGCAAATAATCTGGTAAGCACACACCTTCCCATTGGAAACTTTTCGTTAAAACCACTTTTTATAGGATAATTGTAAGGGAAAAATGGAATCATTAACCAATGACAACAAAAAGATTATGGATGAAATGATGTCTCTCAATCAGGAGGTAATAAATGAATGTCCTGGACTTGAGTCAACATAAACATTATTCAATTTTCAGAACAGAAACTTGCTAAAAACCATAGACGATCTGAAAAGTAGATTAAATTTGACAATGAACGTAAGTCATATTCGCATCATTGACTCTACATATTCACAGAATTAGTAAACGTATAGTTTACGGTCTCGGCATGATTATTTCTCTTCCTTAATTAAAAGCTGCCAAAAAGATCTCGCAGTTAGATAGACGGCAAAGAAATATAAAACTGGCACCAACTTCATAATCTCTATTTGACTCAACACGGTAGTCAACTGCATCTATCGCATATGGTAGTTAACTACCTGATAGAGATAAGTGGAAATTGTGAAACTGGCCGTAAACCAAAAATGCTTACCTTTTTTTTGTCACTTGTAGGTCTTTAACATGATATAGGGAGTGAATTCTTGAAAACAAAAGAGTATTCCATTCTGGCGTATCAGTCTGTTTTCGGCAAAATAGTATGCTCCAAGGTTCATCCCATTAACCATTTCATCACAAAGTTAAGTCCACATTTACAGAAGAGAGCAATGACGAGGCTCTGAAATTCCGCCTTTTCTTCCTAAGAAGGACCCTTTGAGTGAGCCTTCTGTCTTAAAGAATATATTTACCAGAGGTTTAATATAAACATGCCCATATTCTATCAGTTACTTTACTCCATCTTTTCAAGAATTGACGCCACGGAGAGATGGCCTTGCTAGCTGCCACTCGTGTTGTGACTGTGAAATCGTAATCATAGGAGGTAGAATCTTATACATTTGTCGCCTTACGTCACATGGTTTAAGCGAAATATCAATAAATATAGCCCATCCTTTAGCTCACCACAATGCATTTATACAGGAGACTGCCTATGTCAAAAAGGCATTTCGGATCTGGAGGCATCTTGTAGTATAATGAAGTCGTTCCTCAATGTTTGTTTTGAGTTAGAAGTTGGGCGATTCGCGTTCAAAATAACAACGTGCATATCTACAGATCTGCAGGTGTACTGCAAACTGCACTACCATAGTAGGTACTGGTATGTGCATTTGAGAAATACGTACTGTCACTGTGATGAGTAGCATTTTGGATAAACCATCAAAATGCTACACATCACAGTGACAGTACGTATTTCTCAAATGCACATACCAGTACCGGAACCTTCCTAATAGAAAACTACGAAACAGAAATGAGGATAAGTTTATGAACCCGAACAAATATCATTAAATCATATATCATTTAAAAAGTCTTCCATGTAGAATAAGAAATACCATAGCGATTTTTCCAGTTCGTTGCCGAACGGAGTACCTCGATTTTGGAGATATTTATGCCACTACAAGCCGAAGTATTCGTACCTGCGGCATTTGCTCCTACATTGTTTCTTAGTACTGGTATTTCTAATTCCTATCTAGTCAGGTTAAAGTTAGTCTTACCATTTATTCGAACTTGAATAGCATTTATGTCGTCATTCAGAGGCCACAAGTGAATTTAACCTGTAAAATTGCGATTTCTTGGACTTTTCACCACTGACCATTCATGAATTGAATGCTGTCGTTTCACAAAACCACCCAAAATATAGTATTGCGTTATTTGCGTATTTTTTCTTATTTAAAAAATGCACAATCTTCGAAAAACGTCTAACACAAAAATGCATGTTCAATTGTTCTATCAAATGAGTCTTGAATCCACTATAAATCAGTGGCTTACTGGAAAAACTCCCTACATATCAATGTAATCTCTAGAAACACTAATTCTTATCTAACGTCGGCTGAGTTCTTACACGGAGCACTAATCATTGACAAACTGTAAAATCAGTCTTCTACTTTCAATTTCTGGAAACGTTTTGGACACAATTTATCTTGAAAACGAGACGTTTCTCGACCAGGGCTGGTTACAGGTGGTAATCAAGTGGCACAGCCGTCTTAGAGCGCAATGTCAAGAAGGGCTCAAAATTTTTAAGGAATGTCAAGACAGGATCCATATTTTATCGTTTGCCTCAGGGCACACAAAACTCGGAATTCGGCCATATTCTTTACTTATTTTGAAATGAGGCCTTGAAACTAATCACCCCACCCCTAAAATAGTTCCAATTAAGGGGGATAAACTATGGAAGGTCATACTACTTGTAAGGCCAAATATATAAAAAGTCGTAATTATTGCCGTGCGATGACAAATTCCTTCTATTCACACATACATCTATCGAACTCAAGGGCACAGATGCGCCGGCGATTCGCACGCATCGTTATTTTGTCAATGCGGTCCCACGCGTTCTTGGCATCGGTCGTCGATGTTAAAATTATAATCCTAGCTCAAAGCAAAACAGTTGTTTTCAAGTAAATAAGCCATTATTTTATTCTTTTAATTTTAGATTTCTAACGCTATAACAAATTCGCACTTTTCACATCAACCAATATTTTTACATTTAAGAAGACATTATACATCGGTACATAATTTATTCCTATTGGTTTTGGTACTAAAATTCTAACGCTTCTTTGTAAACCAATGTGTCTATCTTTGGTTTGTAGTCGATGGTCAAGGATTGACTAAAGGACATACATTTTCTTTGATACATACAGGCTATTCCATTTCAAGACTGAACATTTTTGTCTTTATAAACGAGTCAAAAATACTATTAGACCGCTTATATAGGGCATATCTAATATAATCGAGGATATAGTAAGTTATCTGCAGAAAAATCCAAATATCACTGAAGAGGTAATGTGTACGAGAGAGAAGCGCCCGTGGCCTCATCACTCGGGTGCTAGGCAACGTGATGCTTCTATCTCTTGCTAACATACGTAATGTACGCTTCTCCTGCTTCTCTCGTACACATTTCGACGTCAGTGGTGTATGGATGTTTATGTATTATACTCGTATAAATGCGAATATCTGTCCAGTTTGCTATCTTCACGTCTGAACCGCAATATGGAGAAACTTACTAATTTTGTACACTTACTAATTGAAACCCGAGGAAGGCTACGCACTTGTTTTTTACCCGAAAATATACAGGGTGTTAAAAAAGTATGAGTATATCAAAATATTGAATGTGACCTTGACGATGACATTCAAGGTCATGTAACAGTCAAGACAGTTCGAAAGATACTTTTCATAAAAAAACTGTCCTGTAATGAAGTTGTAAGGTTTGAAAAGATTCATCTGGTGAGCTTGACTATGGCCTTCAAACCCATTTGAAGGTCAAGACAGTTTTCTTAAATGGAAAGCCCTATTTTTGTCACCTGAAATAAACAGAGCAAGACACTTTCTTGTGTATCCATGACCTTGAATAAGACTAACATGGTCATTTGAATATCAAAATGAACGTGAAACATACGTGCCAATGCACCTGACCATTACCTTCAAGGACATTTTAAGGTCAGATAAATTTAAACTAAGGAGTTGTCGAGGATATAAAAAACGAAACGCTGAAATTAATTTATTGCTGCATTAAAATGTTGGATAAAAAACGTTCATTGCCAAAGCAAGTATTGCATTACTTTGAATATCGAATTTCTTTTTCCGAAACCAATCTACTAATCCGCACAATCTTTCTCCACACTAGTGCAAAACGAATGATCTATACTTAACGCCGCTTTTACGCGAGCGGAGCCGTTAACTTCGTGGTATAAATGGTTTTACTTATTCGCCTTGAGACGTTTCTTATAATTTGAAATATGTGCGATGTCGTGAAACTCCCAGGATTTGGCTCAAAAAACTGTTTCCAGGTAACACAAAATGAAGTTGCAGAATTAAATAAAACGATCCAGGATCTGCAAGATACTTTACAAAGGACCAAACATTTACAGGAAGAGGAAGAGAGGGTAATATATCGCAAAAACAGTTCGTTATTGTATAAAGTAATGTGTATTTTATAATATTTTAGGTCAAAGATGTAGAAATTGACCGTTTGAATACTATTGTCTCTGAACTGAAGCGATGTTTGAGGAATTCTGAAGAAAAAGATACTGTAAGTTTCTATAGCTTTACAAGATGTGGCTAAAACATGGGGTGAAAATTCAAGGAATGCATCTTAATCTAAGAATATTTTGACATTTCACGTTTTGAACAACCTCTCCGTTTCGGAGACATTTTAATGACAAAACTCGAAATCGTTTTTGCTTTTGGACAACCCCGTATAAACCAACAAGCTGTTGACGGGCTGGTCAGATTGCTTTTCACACTTCCTATTAAGAGATATGTTTGAAAAGCCTTTTTAGAAAAATATATTCTTGTTTGACTTCGATAAAGTACACCGGTTATAAGAAAAACAGTCTTGTTCTAATACTGCTCCTATCGATTTACACCGCAGGCAATCTCTAAAAAATTAGACAAAATCCTGAAGCATGGTAAAGTGATATCTGAAAAGCTGTCAATCAGATCACTGATTGGAAATCAAAGTCAGTATTTCTTTTTCAAAATGACTGAACCAGTATATCGAAATCAGTGTCATAATCGGCAAAACAAGAATTTTTTTCTAAAAATCGAATATTTTTTCCGAAATTAAACAAGAATACATAAAACCACATTACTGGTTACTGACGTTTTGGTCAAAACGGTGGGTTTTTGCAATTAGATTTTGGCAATTCTGACAATTTGTTTACCTGTTCTGAGACTTCGTTTGTGTAATTTTCACATGCTTATACAGTGTGTTACTACAATAGTCTGAACTGTCCTCAGCATGTTACAGGACCGTTCAGACTACTATAGTAACACATTATGTTACCGGCACGGGTATCACGTATCTTGAAAAGTGACATTATGCCGATTTTTTTGACATTATTCTGTTTTATTTTACATTATGTAGGTTATTCTACAAGGTGTTAACTTAGCACTTAGTTGCACGTATTGCCTAAACGTCATGAGGCTTGTTATCAATCTTTGGCTCTGATGTGATGTAAAATCTGCTTCTGAGATGGCATTACTGGAGGTCTAAGCTGTAAGTTGTATGTGTTGATGATAATTGCATTGGGTTCTTGTCTGAAATACAGTTAATTGAGATTCAAAGCTAGAAATTAGTTGCGCATCAACTTTTTCTTATCCATTCTGGAAATTACATATAAAAATTTGCTGAATTTCAGAAATGAGAGAGATAAGAAATAATATTCACTGTATAGTGTCGAATTACAAGCTATAGACATGCTAACAGTAAATACACACAACGCGGGCGCGGTGATGATTTCCCGTAATTCTCCTCAGTTTTTCGTAATTTATAACTTTGAACCTCTCTTCAGAAAGCACAACATCTAAATAACCCGTCATATTCGGCATATTCAGTAATTTTCTCACACAGCAAATATCACTGATTTTATACACATGCAGACCAATACATATAATCATCCAGATGCGATCTTGCTATTCAACATATAAAAACTACAGACCCGGATCAGTCAGCCTCACAAGACTATGCAACCAATAATGCGTAGTTTAGTTGAGTGATTCCTCCATAGATGGACGTTCACAACGATCCTAGTGAGCAAAGTGGAATGACTGTTTGCGCCCTAAAAACTACCTAGTCTGCAAGTTGACTTGCAAGGTTTTTTTTGACGTTCTATAGGTTTTTTACATGACACCCATGTCGGAATATACTGCCAAAAATTGTCAGATTGTACTAGAAAAAAGCCACCGTTGTGGAAGAAACGTCGTCATTAGTAAACAGTATTTCAGGCATATGTGGTTCCATTTAGTGGCCAGACAAACATAGAGGGTTATAAGAATATATTATTTCAGACAAAGAATCGGTGTTTTCAAATTTATTATATTTTTTATGTTTCCAAAGTTATTAAAGGAAACCGATTTCCAGTGGCGTCGTTTAGCGTATGTATCGCCGAAACGAAACGATATTTCTATCCGAGGATACTCAAGAATTATCCCTTGAATTTTTGACCCATGTACATTTGGTGGTTCAAACAGATGTTTGCGGTCCGATTCAGTGATTTTTTAACATGGCTTGTTGGTGCCGGGGGACGGTATTGTTATTATATTGTATGTCGCCATTTGCATTGCTTCATATAGTCAAAATCACGAAAGATGACTCCTACGTCATACGATAAATTGTACTGAAGTAATCAATGGACGTGTGTCGATGATAAAATCACGAGTCAGAAACATAAATCAAATCCAAGCGGTATTATGTACCGCGGTTATAATATGGTTCAAGATGACACCCGGGATGATGACGTCAGTTACGCGAATCGCTTGAACGCGTTGGTTTTAACCGCGGTTTGTTGCAAGTTCTTTATTTTAGAAAAGCGCTTATATAATTTCTGATTATTTTATAATAAGGTGCTCTTTTATGCTAAAACTGAAGTCAGCCTGTATCAAGTTTCCCAAAAATGAAGCTGAAATACAATAACAATATATCCAATACCCGGCAAAATTCTAACTTGTCACATGTCAAATAATAACCAGAAATATAAAACTACTCTCGAGTTGGGTAAATACCACAATTTTGCGGTGATAACTATGACATATAAACAGCATGACGTCACGGATCTTATAACCAAACTGATAACCACACTCGCTTGAACGGACCGGTAAATACCAATCCAAAATGGTAAATACCATTTCCATTTCGTTATCCGCTTGAATTTGATTATAATGACAACAAATTTATATTATGATTTTGCGAAGTTGGGTTATTTCACTGATTATTTTTATTTTCATTTTATTTCATGGTTTTGAGTGATACCTTAATAATAATTTTAGTGAGGAGTTTTTTTTTTGGAAAAAAAACAGTTATGAGTAGAATGCCTTAAGACAGGAACACCAAAGTATTATTCGAAAACATCATAACCTGCTTCAACATAACGTAACTATTCATCTTTCAAATATTATCGATCATGCAATAAAATTCTGTTTGTCTCTGTCTAACATATCAGAAACTTCATTATATATATTCACAAATCGCTGTCGTTTGTCTTTACTACAGACTAAAATGATGACGTATTGTCATATTTCATGACTTCGACTATATTTGCTTAGCCTCTTGAAAACGCTACCTCGGTCCCTGGGTGAAAGAAAACAATTTGACTATCGTCACTTGTAGAATCATTGCCTAAACTGATTCATCATCAACAAGTTTTGTATACCTATGACCGAACCATTCTAAATCACCGCCATATGCAGCTAATTGACTATAATCTATCGCCAAATTTATTTCTACCGGCATTTGTATTCTCAGTTTATCTGTTCTTAATACATATTTAGTGCAATATGCGGGACTGCTCTTGATATTATCATCATTTAAAAAATGTTTTCAGAGCAAAACCCAAGAAATACAACATTTGAATAGGGTTATCAAACAATTGGTAGGAAATCTAAGACAGATCGAAGAAAAATTCGAAAGTGTAGGAAAGGTATAACGATTTTCCAAATTCCCAATCTCCTTTTGCTCATAAAATTTACTTATAGGTTTGCAGAATATGTAAAGGTCGTAATAAAGTTGGATTTTCAGAAAATGTCAAGGTAAGATTATATATATATATATATATCACCGTTATTACGTATATATATATATATATATATATATACGTAACTTTCAACCCAATTTTGCAGGATGTTTCGAAATCCGTATTAACATAGGATTGAATCGTTTTTTGTTTTACATGTTGAAAATTACATACTATGCTTTTCAAATAGGTCCCTCCTTACTTATTTTTGAACCGGTCAAGATAGTATCCCAGATTTCGTGGTGATGAGATTGACAAAAATCTCTATCTTTCATAATGGCGCACTGGCAGGTGGTAAAAAGTGCTCCATGTTTAACATTGAATCTTTTATCTTAACCAATCATCTAAACGCTATAGTTCCATGGGAGGGAACGCTTTCGAAACTCACTGTATAATGACTGCATGTTACGTTTTGTTTAAAGCATTCGTCAAATTATAGTATCAGTATTACCGCCAGATTTTAATAGCGCTAATGGGCAGTATTGGTTGCGTTTATCAGAACCGATCCTTATGGCAATATTGAAAATCGGCATCCAATATATCCAAGTAATTCGATCAAAAGGCTTTTTTTAAATATTTCAAATGAGATTTCTTTGATTTTTCATTACCTGTCTTGGAGTTAGAAAGCATTCAATCTTAATCACCTCACCTGGGATAACTAAACTTAAGGTAACGGTAGTGTTGACGCTGCTATTTTTATGCACGATCTTCCTGCATTCTCAAAAATTAATTTTCATCCCGTTATAATGGATTTAATGTGCTTCTTTCTTGTTAAGGAGTCTGCAAGTATTATCATAATCATAATGTAGTAACCCTGCGAAACGATATGTAGCATTACTGTCACGATATATTAAGCCCGTTTATAAAATACGCCTAAAGCATTCTAGGCGAAAAGTATTTGATTTTGACGACAATTGAAACGTGTGATTTTTAATAAAAACTAATAAGTAGCCGAGCATTAGGACAGTATTTGTTTTGGAAAAAATCAACTGTAGTCACATATATGCCATCGTATTCAATTTGGCAAAATGCATCGTGAAAACAAATGTCACATCTATCATGATTCAAACGGACATGTAATACCATTGAGAACAACATTAAGTAAAATTGTACACACTGTAAAGTAGCATACAAAATTTATTTTGACATCATTTTTTTCAGAAACATATTTTGTTTCAATACTGTTGTCCGTATTGGTTTGTACTGCAGCCGACCCGCAAAAAGCTAGACTATAAACTAAAAGTGAACTAAATCTAAGAATCTTTATAATGAGAGTTTTGAAATACGTTGTTTCCAGAATTACTATATTTCAAAATCATGGATCCACAGAAGAGAAGTAAGAGTGTAAAAAATAACGTGTTAGGACTAGTTCGTCATTGGCGATAAAGATGAATTAAATGAAAATTACATTATCATCAAGTGAGACCTTGACTGGTTACTACACTATCAATATTTCATTCATTCATTCAAGAAATATTTAGGAAAAGCTGATGTCCCTTACGAGCTTATATCCCCATACCTTCTTATTCTGAGACATCCTGTATAAAGTGCAGTTGGAAGTAGCTCTTGTGCTAACTAAACGTTGCTTCTCCGGCCGTGTCTAAATATATATCCAAATGTTCTATTTTTGTAAACTGAGTAGAAAAGTAAATTCTTCGTTCTTTCAGGTGCAAACGGAACCGGATGAGGATCAACGTGATCTAGTAAGTCGGTTTCTAGAATGAGGTGTACAGTGTAAATTCTGTATTGATTTTTAGTGTCAGCAAAGAGACGATTTAATAAAAATGCAAAGTGAAGCATTGAGTACATTGGAATACAGTGTGAACTCAATATGTTGCAAAGAAACAGTTGATGAATTGAATGTCGCAGTAAGTGCAAGATTTTCCAATGGTTCCTATTATTCGTTGTTTTCCAGATTTCAATATAAAAGTCAAATCAAATCCTAATTGTTTTGTACCGGGTATCATGCAAGAATATATTGAAAATGTAATTCAAATAGATGTTATTCTCGGAAGGAGATCGGTAAAGATCGAACTCTTTTCGCCCATCATATTGATGAAAAATAGTTTCGATTTAGCTCATTTTATCATATTATTTATATCAAGCTCAAATATTTTTTCCTATACCTACAATAAATGGACGAAAATATTAAATAGCAAGTATCAAGAAAGAACTTTTGAACTTGGCATGTTTCTTAAATCTTTTTTATTAATTGTAATAACTTTTTCAATATGCTATCGTCAAAATTTTTCTCAGGCGCTCTGTGCACTACAATATTTTCTTCTTTATTAATATTAGAACACAAACCAGCATTAATTTGAGTGCTGCACAAAGCACATAAGAGGTCCACATGCAAAGTTTTATTTTTTATCATTGTATTGTGATGTAAACAGAGATATTTGGACAACACTAGTAAATAAAATAATAAATAACCTAAATCAAAACTTTCAATTTTCATGGATATGATGAGCGAAAAAAACCGTATCTCCACCCATTCCCATTATCTTAAATTACCTCTTTCTCTATATGAATATAAAGAAAATAATACCCGTGTTTCACTGTACGTCTAATAGTTCTGTTGCTACCGCGTTTTGTATCTACAATCAGCTCCAAAGTATTGGATTTTAATGTTGTACAATATTTTGTGGAATAATACTTTCTTAATCCTTCAATCATGTTGGGTCACGCTGTCTTTTTTTTATTAAAAAAACTACATTCCGGTTTTGTTAACATGGCTTTGAAAAATGCTAAATTTATTGTCAGCTCAGGACCCATTAGGAAGTAACTGGTGAAAAATACTTTATTCATGGAAAAGCAATACATGAAAATAGCACCAAAAAATAATTTTCAAATTGAATGTGTTTGAAATTTAAAATCAAAAAAATGTCAAGTTGTTTTCTGGTAATTGATATTCCGCACAAACAAATAGCGTTCCGAATGCGACCATTACTTGTTAAATACTTGTATTTGCAAGTGACAGCTCAAATATATCAAAAGATCCCAAACTTTGTATACTTTCTGACTTTCCATAATTAAGCTGGCATCAATTATCGCGCAAAAGTGTCTTTTTCTAACAATATAGCCTTATATTTAAATGTATTTCCGTTATTTCTATGTAAGCGATATCGTTTTCTCATTTTAGCTGAAAAAGAGAGATGATGTCATAAGGGTTCAAAATGAAACGCTATCGGCAATCCAACAACAATTAGAGACTACAAAACATCTACAGCAGGAGGCAGAATTGGACAAAGAAAAATGTTTAGATGAGATAAAAACACTCAAAAATAGTGTCAATGAGCTACAATGTGCCTTGGAAGAATCCTCCAAAAGAGCTCTTGATTTACAGCAAGCAGTAAGTGTGATTTTATCACCTTCGTGTCTGCATATTGCTAGATTTTGTCGCACGTCACTGCCAGGGTTCATAGTACTTCTGACTCTATTTAATACGATCATTCAATACGCCAAAGTGCGAAAATAAACATATGAGAAGATAGTGACTGTTAAAAGGATCAGAGTCTATAAGCGGGTTTTTCCACCGTCAGCCTCAAGCGTGACCTACCATCGCCCCTCTCAGCCTGTGACTATCAAGCGATATATGCGTTTTATTTTGCACTAGCTGTTACCTGCGGCTTCGTACGCTTGAAACTGTTGCTTACATACAAAGTTGGTTTTAAGTAAATCTACGAACTTCCGATCACGTTTTGTATCCTTGATGGCATTCGTAAAACGATACCCAACTTGCATGCTTGTGAAGTATGGTTACTTTATTAGAGGTGCCACCTACACATTCTATGGTTAAAACCGCCAGGCAGAAAGCTAGTATAAAAATAAAAGTGTTGATCCACTGTGGTCACATTAAATCAAAAGTTGAAACACATCAATACACGATTATAATGAGACTGTATCTTTTGTTTTTTAATGTAAGCTCAACACTTTGTGTCTTAATGTGAATTAGTATAGAGTTTAAGTAGACAGTGTTGTGACACGGCGCTAATATAAAAATAATCAACTTAAATAATGGAACATGGGTGAATTCTGGACAAAATTACCAAAATGGCAGACTTCAGGCTTTCAAAACTATCAAGTATTAAAAAATATTTAAAAAACCCCGCTTGTAGACCTCGATTCTTTCCGATATCGTCGAGTGAGAGAGGCGTACCTCATACGACGTCGTAAATCCTAACTACGCTTTTGTGTGAGTTATCTTGCATAATGTCGTTAGGAAAGTTTCAGTATATATTCAGAACCAATCAATCGATATACACGATGAATTTTCCGTGTTCGATCGGTCGATCGCACCGTTATTATAAAAGATATTAAAAAAGGTTATGTAGAAAAATTATAGACAACTGGGTCATTCATAAGTACATATGTATGTGTCAACACAAGCATGACTTATTTTATAATGTAACACACTGTATATTCTAATATATTTTGAAAAATACACATTGCGAGTGCAAATTTAAGAAAAAGTTTATATCAGGTAAAACTATGGGATATGAAGCTCATTTTGACGAAGAGTTTAATATTCTTATCTACAAAGGATAGTGACTTACAACTTTTGTTCTGGGATTTTTTTCAGCTTTGTACTAATTATAAGGTATATGTGGATCGATGTGTTCCATATGGGGTGTTGTATCACCCCTTGAAATGTTGCTATCGACCTTTCGAACACGTTGTACTTGCCTATGATTTTTGTACATAAGTTTAAAAGATATCCTATAATAACGGAGTTACCGACTGATCCCACAGTAAAAACTCACTCATTATGTAGCTGCTAATGATCATAAATACATTTCAAGTAAACTAAGAATTTGAATTTCTTGCGAATAGTTCTAATATGCTACTGAATTGCAACAGATCCTATATAAACATCATTGTGTGTGGTAGTATCGTGGCAATGTTTTAAACTTTAATATAAATATAATATCAAATAGCTAACACTATCTGCATGAATGGGCAGGCAACTAACTTGTAATCTTATGTAGTTGCTAGGTCACCGAAACTGTCAAGCAGAATGACGGCAGAATATAATAAGCCTCTAATGTTTTTGCGGTGAATTTTTCGGTAGAGCATTTGGAGCTAATTTTGGTGGGACAAATATCTTCTATCGAGAGATAAGTTTTGGGAGTTTGAACATGAACGTGATGTTTTGGAAGATGTCAATATTGTTGCGGTGACAAAAAATCACAGTCGACTTGGTCTCATAATTTAAAATGTACGGCGCAGTCCGCGCGTCGCAAAATCATCGGACTTTCATTTTTATTGTTTCGGAATGTTTGTAGTTGTTAAAACGAGATGAGTTAATAATATTACAAACTGAAACATTACAAAAGCTACAAACGGAACTAATGAACTTAAAAGAGCTTTATGAAGATATGGAAAAGCAATTGGGATCCTTCAAATGTATTGAATCAAAAATTGGAGCAGATCAGCAAAAACGTTCTAGGGGCATTAGAGAAATGAGGAATCAATTCAATAAACTTCAAAGTAAAGTGGAAAACATAACTCAGGAATCGGCTAATATGGTTGCTTCCGTAAGTGTAGAGTAAATATTTTTTGTTGTTAGAGTAATCCATTTCACGTTCACTTTTATGTTAATGTGCTCTTCGAGATTATCGTTTCTTCATATTTGGTGACCTTCATAAAAGCGTTACGTCAAACGCCAATTAGTAGTAGTAGTAGAAATATTTATTTAGCACATTTGGCTACATAAACAATAACTGTAAACAACTTAGAATTAGTAAATTCAAGCCATATGATGTATGTTGTATATTGTTGGCCAATTTATCAAATATTCTTATAAAGCACGTTGTAAACATTAACAAATTATGCATTTAATTATTATATCCTCTGGGGTGTCTATAATAATGGATTTAGAAACTAATGTGAGTTATTTTCCTTCACCATCATGTATGTTCGTTTTTCATCTTTTTTGGAATTGCTTTTATGCCTACACCATAAACCAACGCTTTGCTTCAATTGCACCCCATACAAATTATTTTTTAAACATATTTTCCATGACGCATGCTTTCCAGGTGAGGCATTGAACGCAGCAAATTCTTTATCATTTTGCTTCTAGAAAAATATGTCGTACAGTCAACAGAGTACGAGAACTGAAAGGGCAATGATATTTCCACTTATAATGTCTAAAACAAGCGTCTATTAGAGAAAAAAAGGCGACTATTTTTTGCAGAGAATGAATTTTGCTACAAAGAAAGTCTTTTATGTTGTTTCGACACCGACACCCTTCTGATGGAAGACATTATCAGTTATCCGAAAATATTACATTGTCCATTCCTACGCGTGGTAGTAAGAAAAAATATTCATTATTTTTACGTAAGAAGATGTTGTTGTGGACAACGTACGTAGAGTGCAGAGTATGCCGCTCGCAGTTTTCATACGAACTTCCGCTTCTTATACTTGGAAAACCATCAAGGTGTCGATAAAACGTAAACTTTTTTTTTTTTGAGGATAGTACTCATACGCTCTAGATTGTTAGTTTAGTCATTATTAGCGAAAATATCAATACGTGTGCCTTTACAGTTATATTGTTTATATTACTTTTTCAAATAGGATTGATGATTTCCGAGATTTTCATAAAACACGTTTATAGAAATGGCGTCAAATGCTCCAGCATTATCATAAGGCCAATTTGAACATATCATTTTTACTGCGGCCAAAATTGTAGAAATAAAATACCTATTTGCTGGCATATAGCTTAACTATTTATTTTTCAGATGAAAGAAAAAGACGAATTCATAGAATCACAAAATAAAAAGAATTTTGCGTTGCGTCGGGAATTGGATTCGTTGAAAGCAAAACTTTCAGAGTTAAAATCGGAAAATGAGAAAAGCTTAGACAATATGCTGACTTTTCAGCAATGTACTTGTGAATTGGCAGATACTTTCCAATGTTTGGAGTCAAAGTCAGCATGTGTTGAAAATGCAGTAAGTAAAATTGTGCCAAATTCTGTCACAAATCACGAAAATAGTTTATATTATAATATTAATCATAGTAAAATCAAAACAGCACATTTTCTACGTTTTCTATGTTACAAATAAATTTAAAGTAACATACTTTTCATTTGTATATAATAGACCTGTGTTATTTCGCTCCACAATTATAATTAACCAATAGTTGCAGAAAAGGGATGAAATCATAAAATTGCAAAACGATACTTTGAGTTCACTACAAATGGAACTAGACTCCTTAAAAAATCAAAAAACCGATGATGCACCAAATTGCTATGGCTTGAATAAATTGGTAAGATATGACTTATATAGAAGTGATCGTGTATATATATATATATATATAATATATTTTTTTCAGCAACAAGAAAAAGATGCGATGATCAAACTTCAGTCAAATCTGTTGAATGAGTTACAAGGTCAATTAGATTCCTTGAAAGTAAAACATTCAGTATGTGAATCGTCGGAACAGGAATACCTGCAAGAAATTCGTATGTTGAATTCTAGTGTAAGTGATCTCTTGTTCATATATTTTAGATATTTAGTTATTTCAACCTAATTCATGAATGCAAATTGTTCATACGTCGCAAAAACAAAACTTGTCGGTTCCATGTGATTATGAAACCGGGCCTGCGACATATGGTATTACACATCTGTCATCTATAGGCCCGTTAATTTAATTGTGGATAGTCTAACGACGGAATGCATGAGAATTGTGCAAACGTAATAAAAAAAATTCACGTTCATTTTTTTTTCATGAAAACTTTAGCTGAAAACACATTCTGATGAATCGTTTTACACTGCGATTTCATCGCGTGCTCTGTTTGTATCATATTAACTAGTAATTTTATTTCAGAAGTCTTGCCTCACTCCTGATTTATTTTTTGTACGTATTTCAGCTAGAAAAGAAGAACCAAATCATAAAACTTCGCAATGATGCCGTAAAGTCTTTAGAATTGGAATTGCGGACACTCAGGGACAACGAATGCGAGTTGAACAAGGAAAAAACGCGGCGTCTTGATGAGCTACAGCATTTAAAGGATGAGTTCAATCAACTCAGACTGATGTCTCAAGATGCCGAAGGCAGAGCCAACAATTTTCAAGGCGCAGTAAGTTTTTCAATGTAAATCTATAATTTCTTATACCTTAGCTTCATGCCTTTCTTGCAAACTGCTGTAGTATTGGTATACTCTTCTTTTCTTTCCGAATAGGTGGATTTGTATATGAATACTATAAATGTACTTGAAGCATCTGCAGAGAAGTACAAAATTGAGGTACGTATTAATGTATATTTGTTTTTTTCGGTTTCATATATTTTTTAGACCAAACCTCTCAGAGTCGGTCTAATATTTGCATTCAATTTTGTTATTTACATTTGTAGATGTATAAACCACTATCAAAATTTAAATCAAAGTGACGGTGTGTTGGCTTTTAGTTACAAATGATTATAATGAAATCATTCGATATTTAATATAAGTTGGTAATAATGAATTAATTTATTTTCTGTCAAATACTTTATACCAAGTTCATTCACATTGCCGTTTAGATTTTGATAAGAATCTGAATATACATCAACAGTACGAAACAAATAAATACAATAAATAAACTACAATATTTTTATCCCAAAATTCAAAATTGTAAAACGTCTTTTGTTACATCAACCAGATCAACCAACAAAAAGCAACAATAGCAAATCTACAGGAGGCGCTAGTGATAGCTAAGAAGGAATTGGATATGGCAAAACAAAAGACTGAAGAAAGTGTGAGTGCGGGTTGGGCTACCAGATGGTTTGGCTCAGGAGACACTGAAAGTGCTGTGCATGATGTGTGATTAATTACAGCTTCAATTCTAGTATATATATGCTCGTACACACCGTTTTCATCTTAAGTTTATCTGAATTTTAACTTCAAGTTAATAACAACATTTGTATGCACCAGCTTAGTTTTGTATGTTCCCAACTTATTACATTTTGGATCCGACAACGCCGCATTCATTTGAGGAAATTTATGTTTTATTTATATACTTTGACTGTTGCTTGACATTTTTGTTAAAATCATTCAAGATAAATTGGGTCAGTATATACTGATGTACGTTTGTTTTTTCAATAATTATGCATCCATGCATTTACTTGAGTTTTATGAGATAGAACAGATAGACACAAAATGTCTTTCGTAGTAAAAACACTTACAGTTCATTATCATTCGTTTTTTTACATGCCGGGTTTATAAAGTCACATAACCTAATTTAAGCTAATCTGATCAAACTTGAACCAAGGTTGACAACATTTCTCATAAGGCATTAGGTTCGGCTAAGTTAGGATAGGTTATAAACGTACCATTAGACTTTGTAGGTATATATTTTTCCTTAGTGTGAACCGCAGAGAAACCTTCCTACAAACATTCGTACAAACTTCCACAAAAAACAATTTTTGTGCTAGCACTTCTACACTACTTGAAAATAGTGCTGCCAACACATTTGAGTTTCTTGTACGTATAAAATTGCTACATCCCAATCTGAATCTCGTAACAAGAACCATATCAAAATGTTGACAATCACTTACCAAACTTGACCTAGACTAACTTATTCTTAGGCTAGGGACGTTAACATTTTCCATGCGGCATTAGGTTAGGTTATATCATTGATTAACGTCAACAATGAGTGTCCTGGTATGTTTGATCAAGGACCTCTCAATTTAAAAACAACTTATTAGTGCTTTCACGGCGGTGCATAGGAGATGTCCGACATAAGTACTTAAGTAAATGACTATATGAGTATAAATGTGCGCAGTGACGTTGAACCAGAAATGTAAACTAATTGAATAGTTGTGTATTAATGTATATTTATACATATTTTTCTGTTCTAATATCTGCTTGAAGTCGCTAATAATAATAATTATGATTATGCATAGACTTATCCTCTAAAGAAATGAAGGCGGCAGGATAATTATACACACCCATTCAGAGTAAGATAAGCGAGTAGAAGAGATCGAATCACTTCTGTTGGATTCGTTTACATTATTGAAAGAGTGCCGCCACACTGGAGCAACCAGAAGCGACGTGCAATATTTGATATATGCAATTGACAAATGTCTGTAGTTCGTGCATACATTTCTTGAGATAATAAGTCTGTGTACCTGTAGATTTTCCCAGGGTGTTGTGTTACATATTACTAACTTACGACCTGAAATAATTGATGAATGTTGTTTATTGTTGTTTTCTAATGTTTTCATTAACGCTTTGCGGCCTACTGGTCTTCTGGAACAATCACCAATTCATAGTTATTGAAGAGTATGACTACAGAGTCCTAATTTTGAGAAAATTCACGACAATTTGGATAAACGAGTTCGCAATCTTAGACTTATATGTCGCTGTAATTACAATGTGCCGTCGAAAATGAAAATACGCATGAGGCATATTTTCAATGAAAAGAAAACGTTATTTTCTTTAGCAGAAATTAAATACAAGATACAAAATTGTTATAATTCTCACGAAAATTGTGATTAAAGGAGGAGGAGGAAAGGGGTCTTAGCTAATTGTGACATAGAAAGCTTGTATCTCTGGATATGCTTTACATGTTATCTCTGAAAATTAAACTGTAGGATATGTACTTCCCTAATAGATAAAGAAAACGGTTCATTTGCAACAAATATTTATTTTGATTATGTTGCAAAGAGGATTGTTAGTTCCAACCAGTTATATGCCTATCATATTCTACCATATTATGTATGCCCTTTTTGAATCAGTTATTAATGTCGCCAAGTTAGAACAATTTTTTCTGGAACGAACTGATCAAAAACTTAGTTTATGTCAAATAACATTGCTTAGCATTTAGTCTGACGTTTTCAATTTTCCTTAACTTGCTTCTGTGGCCGGGGTTATAAGGATGTTTTGTTTCAAATTTTGTCTGTCTTCTCAAACGTAATCTTAAATGACCGTGAAATAAAAAAATAACACTAAATTTGAAAGTTAATGCATGAAAAACAAACAACTTACTCCGCATCCTCAAGTAGGTTCTAGTGGCACACACATGCTGATATTAAAAGAACGGAAACTAAATACTTTTAATTAAGTTAACTTTATTAGCCTCGCTATTCAGATTCAGATTTACATCGAATCGTGGCTCGTAGTTATCGTCGGCTGTGGTATAACATTTGGAGGATCATTTCATTCTCACTAGTACAAATTCAATATATATCTTATAATGAACGATTTCTTAATAAAAGGACAAATCTGGCCGCAAAGGGTTTAGTGTATTTGACGCATGTTTGATGCAGTATTAAAGTGTATTTTGTCTTGATAGTATTATTATATTTTTAATAGTTTAGACATTTTTCTGTTTTTGCAATATGGAAAGACCTTTCATTATCTTTCAACCATTTCCGATATGCCTGTGGATAACAATAATTATACGTACAGGATGCCCCACGTAGAACTGCAAAAATCGATTACTCAAAAAGTTTCTGTATGACAATAATACAAATTTGGGTTTATAGTACAACTGAAGGGAGCAATTGGGTTGAAATACTACATATTTTAAATAGAATAATAGCTAACCGTTTTTGACATATCTCAAATTTAGCGTAAAAATGGCAAATGCAGTCCAATAAATTATAACAATTTTCTCTCGCATTTTTGTCTTTCCATTGTGCTTTTTAACGGGTCTGTTATAATACTTTACTTAAGTAGATTTTATTTCGGTTTTGGTGTACAAAGAGTACAAGGTGGAAACAAAAGATAATGAAAATTAGATTTTAGGAAAGCCATATTTTTCATAACTTGTATAAAGCAAATGCTCAAATGTAAAAGCCGTATGGAACATGCAAGCAAGAAAAAACCTGTATATCCATATATATATCGAAAACAATTTGCGAAGTAGACAACCTTATGCAAAATTAACCTTATTCCCAATACTTAAGACGATATTATAAAAGAGGGGGTTTTCATTAGGAAAAAATATTTTTGGGGGTTTCTCAAGCCCATTTTTTATTGTCTTAAAAGTTGTTATAATTTTTGGTATGATTTGTCATTTTTTACGCAAAATTTGAGGTATCTCGAAAGTGTCAGGCGCAGGTATATGATGGCATACAAGAAATGTTTTCATAATCCATGTTCCATTGAAATAAGCAAATTGATATCTACTTCCCATATAAACAGAAGTGTCACCACGACTTTGTTGGTGTTATACTTCAAATATTTGCATCAAAGCTGTACATTGTTTTTTTGTTGTTGATGACTTGCATTTATTAGCCAATATTACTGAGTAGATTAGTTGTATGAATTTGGGCATATATTCATAAAAAAGTTTGAAATCTGAGAGCCGAGACTTTTATTCAGTTAGATATTTCCTTCTGAAGCCTCCAAAAAGTATTTAAGAATTTTTTTGCGGCATCTGATCTATATAATTATTCTTGGCACTCAGGTTTTACTTCTTTCGGAACGGGCTCAAGAGTTTTTGTTCGCATGGGAAATTTTACCTGTTTATTGTTGTGAAAAAGTGTTATCTACATTATGCATGCTGATTTGAACTGAGGTAATCCTGGTTGAAAATCATTTTTATTTATCTAAAGAGAAATTTATATTCTAGGACTTGGAACATATTCATATAGTTGGTAATATCATATCGTTGCTTCTTGGTATCAATTTCGAAAAGGAGTGTGTAAAAGACGAGGTGATTATTCGTAATCTTTTTTAAGCATGTATGAAACTAGTCCTTGTATGTGACATCTTAAACTTATCATGTGGTTTTCATGTCGATGGTCCCCCATGTCTGTCTGGCAAATCAAACCACATGCCTTTAAAATTCTTCTTTATTGTATACGTTTCGGTCTCAACGGTGACCTTCAGTACAATTGACACTTTCACATTCCTATACGGAGTGACAGTCATGACCTCAAATTTTAAGATCGTACCAAACAAAACCAGCATAGCCCAGGACCGCCTGGAGTAGGTATTTCCGCTCTCAAAGGGGCGTCGAGACGTCCAAAATATATTATATTTTATTTATCTGCCTTCCAGGTGATAGTTCGTTTGTTTTTTTTTTCATTATCACATTCCACAGTGTGTTACTAAAATAGTCTGGAAGTCCCGTAACATGCTAAGATTGCCTGAAGTCATCATTCCGAATTTTAAGATGGCACCACGCAAAACTATATGTTTTTCTCACAAGACAAACAACATAATTCCCTTTAAATGTCAAAGCACTATTTCTCACCTTTCGGATCTATAAACAACGTATTCGCAACATCTTAGACGAAGATCGCATAACAATTAACTGGTTGTGTTATGCACAACAGTTCTGGGTGAGTTTTCGCATTTTTTCGGGGGCTTATCTTTTGGAAGTGGGAATACCTACCCCAGGCGGCCCTGGCTATGCTAGTTTTGCGTGAGCCACCTTCGAATCATGGCTTCGCGTAATCTAAGCATGTTACGGATCATTCAGACTATCGTAGTGGCACTGTATAGGAATGTGAAAATGAAAAGGAAAGAAAGGAAGCGTCACTTGGAAGACAAATAAATAAAATATGTTGTCAAAACTGTGTCAAATACTGAAGAAGATCACTGTTGGGACCATAACGTAAACAATAAAGAATGCTAAACATGTGGTTTGATTGGCCAGACAAACATGGGGTATTACAGTCCTTGTATTTTACGATAATACATATGATTTCCATTTTACAGTATTTTGCTATTTCAAAAAAATACACAAGCTTACAGGATCTAAATCTAGATATTGAAATCGATCACTGCAGTAGTTTACAAGATATGAACATTTTAGAAGATCAAGTTATGAAGTACCAAACCGTAATGAAAAAGTATGAGGTAATATCTACTCTTTTGTCTAGCTTTCTTTATTGTTAGCTTCCACGCTTAGCAGTAGTTTGCTTATTTGGATTTCTCTAGCCTTTGTTTTTCCTAGCGCTATATTATAATATACTGTAAAATTTTCTTATTGGTTCTATATTTGCTCAGGTATTCGTTACGCGATCGTCTCAACCTTTTAATAAAAATTGTTATTTGTGATCACTTAAGTGTATGTGATTTGAATCGGCCAATACTCGATTATTCGACTATTTGTTTCTTAGCAGTATGCATATAAGTGTATTCTTGTAGGCTGAAAAACAAAAATACAAAACTGAAATAAAACGACTGAGCAAACAAAAGAGGTGTTACGAAGAAGTAGTTATGTATTTTAAAGAAGAAATGCAACTGATGGCAGAACAACTTTATAATCTTCAAGAAATGTTGGTGAGTATATTGAAGCACAAACCATACAATGCATGTACTATTGGATATGTAATAAATTATTTCCAAAACAGATTGACATTTATTATGTTTTTGTTATGAAACTATGTTACCTGATTTTAATTATTTGAAACTCAATAAGCAGTTTTCCTACAAGGTGCTCTCAGCTACGTAACTTAAATAAAGAATTTATCTCAGATTATATCCTCTGTAAGCTGTTTTATCTCTATTACTATTGGTTTGTTAAAGCATAGCAGAATGAACAGAATTTCTTTGGCGGTGTCTTGGACACGATCACTGACAGGTTGGCGACATATGTACCAACAGCTTATATTTTGTTATGGTACATTATATCGCAGAATCTCTGATCACTTTTTTGCCATGTAACGAAATACTTTTGGTTCGCGTATTGATGACCCTATCGGCGTCTGCGCGTTTATTTCTTAGGATTTATAAAAACTATAGGATGCCTTGGAAATAAAAAAAGAATTTGTATAACTCCAATGAAATACCATGATTTAATTTTGTAACATATACATACCTATATCCAAGTTAAGTAACTTTTCCTTTTAACAAAGTTTTATTTAAGAAAAGCGGGTACAATGAGATGCTCAGAGTTTGAGACTAAATAAAAAGTACGTTATACAATGCAAAGGAAAGAACAATGTAATATAATCCTGAAACTGATAAAAAATGTTCGCGAAGGCAAAAGTGCTGACTTGGCGTCTTCTTCTGGGTAGACTGATACATAACTTCCATATAACATTTATGTATTTGGGGTATTCGTAAGTTAAACTGACATGTATATTAATTATGATTGGTTTCATATCTAAATGATATGACTAAGCACAAGCGTAGTGTAGCGCTTTCTTTCAGCCGAAGAGTGCTAGTGGCCAAACTTATAACGGGCGAAGCTTTTTTTAAGAATAAAATATAAGTATTAGCTTTATTATAGAAGAAAAGAAACAGTTGTGGCATTCGGTTTTTCAATACCTATTATTCCAGATGTTCTGCTAGTATTGCGGCCAATGTGATTTGGACTGGAATTCCAATTATTGAAGATGCATTCAACAATTTTTAGAGTGGTATTTGGCAACCGCTTTTGCACCATAATAGCATAACTATTTGATGCTTGAAATTCAAGCCCATGATCAGTAAACTATAATGTGGTTTACCCACTTTTGCATTGACTTCTCCAATTGGGCTAGCCGTTCAGGCTAACATCAAAATAAAATTGAAGATTACTGGTCTTATTAGGATGGTAATTCTGCCAGTTTAGATATTCGAGTATTCTTTCCGTACTAGGATTTTTCAAAATAGGTTCCATTCAAGTACTGCATGCTGAAGTAACATTTCGTTTCAGACCCTCTCGCATGAGGCAGCCCAGGAAGAAAACTGTAGACTGTACGAAGCCTTCCTTAACGTGCAATCAACAAACGAAAAACTGAGCTGCCAATTGACGACTGCCGAGCAGAAAGTTTTGGAAGAATATGAGAGAAACAAGTTGCATGTTGAAAAAATATCTGAGCTTGAACGATTGGTTAGTGAAAAAGAACTGGACTTGGGACGACATGATCTTGCTATCTGCAGTATTAGAGACACTTTGAAATGTTCGTTGCAACAGAATGAAGAATTGCACCAAACCATTGTATCTTTGAACGAAACTATAGCTCAGTTGCAGCATGCTATCAAAAAATACGAAAATGACAACTGTAAGTCGAGAGAGAATACATCTCAATGCCAGTCTCAGATCAATTCGTGTAAAAAGAAGTTGGAAGAACTAAAATGTGGTTTAGATGAAAAGACTCAAGAGCTATGTAAACTTGAAATGGCTTACAACTCCCAAAATAGATGTTTGAGGAGCGCTCAATCAGAACTGCAAGAGATTAAAGAAAAACAAAATGATAGGCAGTGTGAGTTGAAATGTGTTGTCAGAGATTTGAAAAAGCAGTTGGAAAAGGCTGAGCTGAACATTAAGGAGTTAGACGACGAGAAAACTAAACTTCAACAGCAATTGGGAAATGCAGCCAGAAAGGATGCCGTTAAGGATGTGGAGCTGAAGAGATATAGGAAGGTTGTAGGAGACTTGAAGAAGACTGTAAGTTCAAATTTTTAGGAAAAAAGTTATACACAAAAGTTGTGGAGTCTAATTCAAGTTTTTTAGACAATGTCTAATTTATATACAAGGTGACTCAAAAAACTGCTGTCGAATCAAGTTGTATTTTTTTAAAGGAATACCCTGAATATTTTTAGTCAAAATGATAATCGTTGTTTTCTGATTCTAAATATGTGTTGTTCATAATGCTTATTTCCGTTACTTTAGTTAAAAATTCAAATTGTACAATGTACATATCATTTAATCATGTATATCCGGCACTACACCAGATTGTATAGAAGCAAACGAGTTTGAATTCGGATACATGAATACATATATGAAAATAGAAGTTACTTATAAAACATGTTAGTTTGCACCTAACTGATTTTCTTTTCTGAAGGCAACTGAAAGATTTTCTCAACATAAATGAATAGGCGACAGTATACATCCCTGATTTACCCTATCAAAATGCCAAATGTGCCTGAAACAGAATCTTATTGATAAGTAGTTCTGCCAGCTGGTTACAACACATTTCTATTCTTTCGCTGCATGGCGAGCGAAAGAAAAGTCGGAAAATCGCGATCAAATACAGAATCTTGTGGAAAAGCATCTGTCATTGTGAACTATTTCATTGAATCGAAACAATGCGAATATTCTAGAACAGTCTCGTAAAGCCCTATCGCACATGCATCTCAATGACTGCATTCACTATCCCTCAACAGCTGAATCTTAACGCTGACTGGAGTACGCCGTATCAAGTTACATTGTGTGGCTAAAGCAGACTCTAGTCAGCACTAAGATTCAGCTAGTAAGTGCTAGTGAATGCAGCCATTGATTTCTTGGACTTCTTTTTTTAAATCCGAATGATTTACTGCTAGTCTCGCTCTCCGGTCACAATTTCAGTCTCGGATTTAGCGCCCTCCTTTTTTAAAATTGGACTCTTAGAACATATTTATAGGATAATAAGTGAATAAAATATATGGCATTTGCAATACGAATCTTTGCTACTTTCATTCTAACCATTTGATTTCAGCTATTGGACTTGAATAGGAGTTTGACCAAGAAGAATTTCCAGTGCAATAACGCTGAATGCATAAAGAAGAAGGGAAAGAATGAGACTAAAGATTTGGATGATATGTGCCTCAATTGCCCATGTGAAGTTGAATTTTATCAACAAATTGTAGAAACACTGAAGAAAACGGTAAGCTAGGAAAACGTTTTAAATCAAGAGCTTATTGTAATTCCTCCTTTTTGGTGAGAAAGAGCATCAAAAGAATAAACGTAGAATTAAGTATCAGGACCTCAGAATTCAAGCATACATAGACAAAGATTGTTTTTAAGAGGGGACCTAAAATGTAATAAATTTTGATAATATGTACAGAGTATCCCACGAAAGACTTCAGTGATCGATTACCTGGAAAGTAGGCGTTAAACTATAACATCGGTTTGCGATTTTTGTAAAATTGATGACAGCTATTCGGCCAAAATACTTTTTTCTAATGGTGGCACTTCCGATTATACCGAAATTTGATATCAACTTGCATATTTTTAATTCGACATCCTATATACTACTGAATTTTTTGGATCTACGCAGCATTCTAAACATATTTCATGTTTACTTTCTTATACCTAAATCTCTGAAATTTTGTGTAAACAATCACAAATGCTGACTGAAAAATAATCATTACTTTTTCCTACATTTGTACCATTGTCATACGATTTCAAACGTTTTTTTTAACAGGACAGAACTTTAGTAGATTTCGCTAGAAATTTAATTCGGTCAGTCATATAGGGGGTGAAATTGTAGGTCCCCTATCAGACTCTGGGAGAAACACAGCGAATTACCAGTAACCCGGTATATGTTTCGTAGGTTATTGAGCTCAAGGACAAGTTGACTGAGACACAACAGAGAAATGAGCAGCTTGAACGGGAAAATAACGAGAAAGAAGCTCAGCAACAGGAAAAAGATCGAGAATATAGAAGATTGCGTGAATTATTGGATGAAAAAATTAAGAAAGCTCAACTAGAAGAGTCGCGGTACCTTGAGCTTGCTGCTCAGTTCCAGAAGGAACTATCGTGTATAAGAAGGGAGTTAGAATTGAAGACTATGCAGTTAGATGATGTTAAGAAGAGCTGCCAAGAAATAAACAGTTCAAGATGTTTGCAACTTGCATGTGCCCAAGAAGACGTTAACAACTTGAAGGACGAACTTAATAATTTATTGAGAAAACACTGTACCTTAAATGTTGAGGTAATCCATGCATGAAGGTAGTGATAGTCAATACAAATTAGCTTAAGACGATACATGCAATTTTACAATAAGCGATCATCATTAATCTGTAAGCGACGTGTTTAACGAATTTGAATGAAGCGTGCTCTTCGGTCCGAGTTGATCCAGCATAATTCAAGCATACACGCTGGAGTGAGGGAACCGAATCGGGACAAATTGAATATTCCACCAGATAGTTTAAATTGCGGCGAATGAACGCATCAAATCTAGCATGTGGGAGCAACCGTTAATGGGAAGCTTAATCACAGCATCATCCTATTCATTATACCAATATCGTGTCCATTGCAACTAGCCTTATGGTGCATTGTCAACGTCGCGCATTTAGCGTCTATACAGGGTTGCATGGTAAGTCGTGGAGAACATTTATGAAAGTTTTTCATGCCAACACATCTGACAATATACTCTACTGAAAAAAATTAAGGGTGCAAAAAAATCCAATTTTTTCGGTGATCTTTGGCAGACTGTATTTCGTTTAAAAAAGTAGTAGCGAGACTTTAAAAAAGCATTTTTAATCTCGTAAGATTCTAGTCTTGAGGTTTTTTAGCCGAAACATTTTAGGGACGACGGTTCTCTCGCAATTCTCAGAAATAGCGCAAGAAAACTTTTTTGCATCCTTCTTTTTCGTCTACTGGCTTGAAACATTTTTTTTCTGTTAGGTCATCATATAGATCGGAATGCTCGTTTATTCAGCTTCAATATTCTGTTTTCAAAATTTCATTACGATCATTTGGCGCGGAGATATCAGACTTTGAATGAAAAAGAATCACTTTGTCATCGACCACGGATAATCAGTGATCGAACAGAAAATGTAAGGGTATTTCCAAAAACTGGAATAAATCTTTTTTCAGTTGCTTTTGTCAAAATTGAACATGCTACCTTACATACAATGACAACAAAAGAAGACAAATGATTTTCCTATTTTCAACCAGATTACATGATGTTTTGACTCAAAAGTCTTGCTCCTTTGATTCCTTTCAAACTTTGACCAGTCGGTCCGTAGAAACCGTGCAATGTTTCGATCTGCCGTCGTGCATAGTGCCTTTGAAAATCATGACTACTGTGCCATATTTAAATAAAAAAAGATATGGATATGATTTTCTTTATGCAAATATAATTACAATTTTATATTATAGACAGTTTTTCTACTCCTCATAGCAGTGATGGACCTCCGATGCTGGAATAGCCTTCAGCTGGTCCGTTACAGCAGTTTAAATGTTTTCGACTGTCCCAAAATGAGTTCCCCCGAGACGAGTTTCTAAACTTCGGGACATGGACTCAAGTCAGGCAAATAAGGAGGCTGAGGAGCCACGAGAATGTTTTTGCTGACAAAAAACTTGTTTATTGACATTGCTGTGTAACAAGAAGCATCACCCAGTTGTTCTTGATTTGACGAACGGTGGTCTGAGATCCCGGATTCTCTCGATATTCTCATCGGTTCTTGAAAATATAGGCCTTCTTAAAAACACTACTGCAAACTAAAATCATATTGATAAGTTTGTTATAGCTACAACAGTATGCAATATTCGATTTGTTTCCACATTGTGAACAAGTAGTATGGTTCTAACAGCTTTCTGATTATTCTTTGGACAACGGTGTGGAATTCTTGCCGTCGTCCATGAGTACACGAAGTGAATTTTATGATGAACTATTTAATGTGCGGAAAAATAAAACAAAGGTGACACGCTATCTATGAGTAGCTTCACTAACCCCGGTGCTGCCAATTCTCACGTGCGCCATCAGGAAACTACAGTCTCCTGGCATCTCTTTTTTTTATATATATACTCCAACTACCACGAAGGCCTAAGGCCTAAGCACCCATTGGGTACCGTGGGGCTATATAGGGGGATACATGGGAAAGGGGGAACGCCACACGGACTCTGGCGAGGGAACACGTGTGCATGCAACATGCACACATTCTGGCTCCGCCTACGAGATCCGCCGGGTGGTACCTCCGCGTTCGACAGTCAGAGACCGCCTACCACCTACGGACAATCACAACATCCATAGCCAAGAGAAAAATGTCTCCTGGGACGGGACTCGAACCCGCACAGCGCACGGCGACTGATCAGGAGACCGAAAAGCCTACTACTGCGGCCACCGCTGCTGCCCGGAGTGATAGTTTGCTTCTATGAAGCCAAACAAGAAACATCTACCACATTGGCGTCTCATTGTCATTCAAGGTGGTACAAGTACTCATCATGGTACCAGCATGGATATTCTATGAAAAAATGCATAAACTAAAAGCACAGGATCTGTTTGCTTTCCGTCTCTGGTCCCATAACCAACCGTATACAGTGTTGTTTCATGCTTTTGAGCAATCATCAGGACTGTGCAGGTCTAGTCATTTGACGGGAAGCAAACAAGAAAAAATTGGTATAAAAATATACTTGATATTATTTATGAAATGAACAGTGAGAATTTACATTATTAAAAGCCGTATCAATATTACTCGCAGACATTCGTTTACAATTTTGTAGAATGAAAGGCTCCACAGCCAGAGTGTCCGAATGCAAAACACAGTATCCACTCTGGAAGAAAAGAGCCAACTGCTGAAAAGCCAGGTGGAACAGTATCTTTCAGAATTGCAGATCGTTCAAACAGAAAAGGAGGCTTTGGTGCAGAAGAATCGCGAATTGCTCAGCGATCTGCGCAGTCTACAGTGTTCGTATAGTGTAGCGGGTAAACAGCAAAGGTATGCACACCTAAATATAGCTGAAATGATTCTCGGCATGATTTTCTAGGTGTTTCTTTAATAGTTTTGTATGTTCAGTGTTGTAAACGATCCAGGACTTTGACATTGCTGGGTTGTTCAAATTAAATATAAACAGTGAGCCGCAGAACTTAAACAATACTATTTTAAGATACAAGAATGTATTACTAATGTGTTTAAATCTAAATATTACCATAGCATTAGAGTAAAACATATATGTTGAGGATATTAAAGTATTTTTTAGTTTTGATCTAAACATATTATATGTTCAAATTATTTCACAGTTCTGTAGCAGAGAATGTGAAATCTTTAGAAACGGAACTAGAAAAGGTGAAATGCAGCAGGGATGAGATATGCTCGGAAAGCAAAAACGTTGTGGGGTATTTTAAGGACTGGTTGCAGGAACAAAAAAAGATCAACAAGTACATTATGTCTAGAGAAAGAAACTACTGTCTCAATTTAAACAAAATGAAGGAGGGGTATGTGTGTTTGCTAAATATGTTAAGAATGTTTTGATTTGCATGACTGTGAAGGCTGTATTGCCGAGAGTGAAGTAACACTAGACTAATGACTAATGTCTTTACATTCTGCGAGGATAGTCTATTGTATTTGTTTTTTTAAGCAAATTACATTCCAAAATTTCATTTTTCCGTATTTTCGTTCACGCGTAGAACTTATATTTTTGTGGAAAATTAAGACAATGGGCGTTTCCATCCAACGTAAAGTGGAGCAGTGGTGTAGCGCCTTTATGTTGAATAGCAATAGCTGTGGAATAGCTTTGACAATTCGCAACATTAATCAACATATCAAATCTGCCAGCCAAGTGAAAACTGCTGTCAACTGTCCAACAAGTTATCTTCTGCTTTACGTTGGCAGAACGCTTTCAATAATCTGGTAGTATATTGAAAAATCTTCAAAATATAGGTTAAAACTAGTAACTACGTTGACACGTTGCTGTGAAACCTGCTAAAGACCTTTGAAATTTACCTATTATCAGGTAAACAATAAAATCTACGCAAACCGACGAACAAATTTAGTTATCTTCTGAAGAGGTCGCATTTTCGGTGTTTCAAATTGGATGAAAATTTCTGACTGCTTCAGCAATAGTTTACTACTATACTTGTGTATCCTAGACACCTTCTTTCACAACATCGTTGCCCTTTATTACAATCTAAATTTTCTTTAAGCACACAGCGAATGAGAAGCCCTTGTACTACGAAAAAATTGTATTGCATGCCAGAAAAAGTAATACTTAGTCTCTTCCCAAAAATTCACCTTATAAACAAATAGATTCATTCTGTCGCTTATGGAGTATTTTTTGTTCAATTTGAAAAAAATAAAATTGTTAAACACAATCCTCGTCTGAGTTAATATAAATTTTTTAATTAATATCATAGTAGGTATCAATATTAGCGTCATTACATAGAAGAGTTAGGCTTTTGACGAACAAATTAGATTGCAATGCTATTCCAAATAAATTACTGACGATAATTGAAATATGCAGCTCGATAACCAGTATCTGCACCCTGCACCACCTAGCTGTCAACAAATGCATCTATGGCCGTAGGCCGCGCCCTATCCTATTAATGATGCATGTAGCATGACGTAAATATCATAAATGCAACATATGTCGCGTTCGTTTTCACACAATCTCAGATAAGTTCTCTCTATTCAGTTGCTCAGATTATTGCACTTTTTTTACCAAACTCAGTTTAAATTGGGTAAGATTCCTTTCCTTACTACAACTGATTTGTCCTCACATGGTTGAGATTATGTTCTGATCAAAGTTAGCTCCCGTGTTCTTTTTGAATATTAAAGTGAGTCAGACATTTACGTAAAAACTTCAAGTGATGACAAATCTCACTCAGCTGAGGTGGGTCTGAAAATCTCTTATTTAAATTGAACGCGACTTATTAACACGAGCTTAGCTTTGGTGCATGTGTTACCAAAATATGATTCCTCTTTCTTTAACACCGCCCTCTTTTACAGAGATCAGCGCTACAGGCCGGTACCACCAAAGACCTGCAGATTCAATGTACCAACGAGTCAGCCGCCTCCTAGATGTCAGTCTTCATGGAGTCTTGGTTCTCAAGGGACAGCTTCAATGCACGAAAGTCCTTGTATAAGTCCGTGCCCTAACGAAGAGAGCGACTGGTATTCTTCGACTTTCCGGGTACTGTGTCATTACTATATTTAGAGAAGACAAAAAACTAAAATTTAACAGTTTAATTCTTAGGACAGTCGTGGAAGCGTAAAAAAATAACCACTAATTATTATAGCAATCTAATTTTGAGGATAAGAACTCGGCACAGATTTTATGTTGCCATGAAACTTTGGAGCAGAGATGTTACGGTGGTTGATTCCGATTCCGAAACTTCCGATGGTTTTAGGCTTCTGATTTCGATTTTGGTTTCGAAACTTTTAGGTCGGAGGTTATCCAGACAATTTTTTCAAACATTATTGAGTAGCGCTGATGATGTAGATACCAATAATAAGGTTTTATTTAATGAGTACAATAGAGAAAAATGAATTCCTATCTTTCTTCAGCCTCCGCCTCCGATTCCGATAAACTAAATTTAAAACCTCCGATTCAGACTTTGGTTCCGATATCATCACTCGTGCACTAGTCCGAAATTCTGAAAGAATTGGGTCCGACGATGGCACATGCCCTAGTTCATTCTAACATATAAATATCTTTTCCGCATTGTTAGTTGTTTTTATTTTATGTAGCCATTCATTCTAAAATATAAATATCTTTATATACTATATACGAGTATATTATGGGTTAGAATGATATCCATACACAAGGGTATTTTCGTTTTGTGGCATATAATTTATTCACAATTTATAATTGATGTGAATAAATATTATTATTATTCAAGAAACACCAGTAACACACAACATTTTGGTCAAAATTGACGTTTCCGATTACCGGTCGATAATGACAACTTTGTTGCTCTGTAGCAAAAAAGTTGCAAAGTTGCTTATTTGCCGTAACTTTCGCAAAGATTTTATATGCAACACGTCAGTACTATCCAAAAACTGCATATTTTTGGGAGTAGATGGTATTGCTATTACGAACAATGATAAAAAATTAGAAATTTTTTTAACCTAATTGCCGTACTTGACTGTTTGGCAGGTTGTTTTTGGTATGCATTATCTATGGAAGCTTTGAATACAATATACAGGGTTTAAAGAAAATTTATAAAAAAATACAATTTGAAGAATATAGAACTTATTTTTTTCAGGGTTATACAATACTCATAAGGGGTTTCAAAATGATGTATCACATGACCACCTTAGATTTACAAACATTTCCAAGATTGTGCTTAACTGCTACCTTTATGCCGAAGGTATTGAGAAAAAGCACTTCATGTGCCCCAAGCAATAATTAACATTTTGTTTATCTTTTAAATGGAACAAGGATTTGAAAACCAAAGATATGTTGAAAACCTCGTATAGGGGATTCACATTAATAAATCATTAAACATCCTTTTTGATTTTATTATTTTTTTTAAGAACGATTCAGAAGACGAGGGTGAGGAGGATTGGGTGAGCAAAGTGGAGGATCTGGCTGCTCAAGTTTGTCGAACAAACAGAATCTGGAAAACAAAAATGGAAAGTGCAGACTATGCGGTGTGCCGGGATCCAAACAAATGACTGACTTGTATTTAATATGAAATATTCAATACAAGGTTTATTTATTTCATCGCAATTAGGTTATGTTTACTTGTTTTTTTAAGTATGAGGCGTTGATTCACCCTGCGTGATATATCGATAGTATTGTTTTTCGGAAGAAACTCTAATTTTTAGTTTCTTTAACTGTGAATCAAAATTTGTATATGGGAAATATATTTATATCGATCTAACACTTAGTACGTGTTTTCTGTTATAATCCAATATATTTACTAATGTTACCTTGTTTTATAAAGTATCCTCCCGACAAGTATTTCAGTGCGGACCTTGGACCCGGTCTTGGAGCACCGGCAGGCCCTCCCCTGTAAGGTCTTAAGTCACCTGATTCACGAGCCCTTTGTACTACATTAACAAAGGCACGAGGGGTTGGTTGCACTCGATTAAATAAGAATCATGTCCGCAAGTTCAGCATTTTCGTAAACATGTGCCATTTTTTATTTCGTTTGAGCCACGCAACAAACACCACTATTCACTCACGCGTTACCGACTGACGAAAAACATCGTGATAAACGTTTCAAATTCTTTCGCTTTTTTGTTTCCGATGCGATGAACCGATAACGCGGATTATATCCGTTGTTGCCAAACACGAGCACATAATATTATTATTGAGACAGGGCGGTACTCAAACTTCTAAAGGGCTATAACTTTGTTACTTTAATTTTACCAGAAAAATGTTAAAGGAAAAAACATTTCTTTTGATCAGACCTCCCTGTATATGTATACCATATAGTATAGTATATACTTATTAAAACTCAGTAATAATGTTGTATAGAAAGATTTTATAATGCGGCCCTCCAAACTGCATTTTTTTTGAAGTGGCCCTTGGGCCACATTAAGTTGGACAGCCCTGGCATAACTAATGCTTTTGACAAATCCTAAAAAATTACTACAATATTTTGAAACTTGGGAAAGTTACATCATTTTCTATGGTGCGCTTCACGCGTTCACGTCCAGATATGACGAAACATTACATGCACCGGCTTCGGTACACTCACGGCTAGATGACGCGATGCTTTTTGCACTCGTTCTTAGGGCTGATGCTGAACGGTTGTACTTTGCTTGTACCTTAGCATCCACTGCTACGCGGTATACCCAATATGTTGAACGGAAGGACAATTATTAAAGAAAACATTGTGTAAAAACACCATCGTTAAACCTCCTCCAGGGGAGATTTACAAGTGTCTAAATTTTAAAATCGGAAGTAAGAATATTGTGGTACATCATTCGAAGTGTATCTTTTTACATATTTCCAGGGCCGATCTGGCAGGCCGGCCGAAGTTTGATGGGCCAGTCGACACTGCGACGATCAGCCATTTAGTTTTATAATTTATCGAAGGGTTTGTGGTGGTTTGTACGACTGCTTTTGAAACATCAAAAACAGCTTAATAAAAACAAAAAGGCAAGAGACTTTGACCTCGGCTGAAACTAAATTTTTAACTGAATCACTTTGACAAAACACGTTTTCTCTAGATGGAATTATTAGTTTTCACTAATATTCATTTTTAAACAACAGTTGTAACAAGACATTTAGTGAAAACTGGTTTCAATTACGGAACACGCGTTGTTACTGAGAACGGGAAATCATGTATGAAAAATAATATCAGACAAATGTCTGCCTCTAGAAGCCGCGCACACCTGAGCCCTCTTGATTACATATTTCATCACTTTTTGGTAGGTTTGTTGTTTTTCAGCTGCTCTACAGTATTTGGTTTGTTGGCATAAACCCCATTTTTCAAAAATCCCCATAAAGTCAGTTGCCGCTAAATCCGGTGACCTTAGTGGCCAGTTGACATCACCAGATCGAGAAATTAAACGTTCCAGAATTATTGTTCGCAAAAGATTCATTGTTTCCGTAGATGTGTGACACGTTGCTCCGTCCTGCTGGCTTGAACTACATGTTTTGCGGGTTAAATTGTTGGATTTGAGGAGCCAGAAAGTTTTTCTACCATATCACGGTAGCGCTCGCCAGTGACTGTAAGAGAATTACTTGCAGCGTCTTCATACTCTCTCCATATCAAACACCCCAATAAACTGTGACTCTACGAGGATGTAGTGGTCGTTGATGGATGACACGAGGGTTCTCTTATGCCCAGATACGACAAATCTTATTAGCAAATCCGTTCATATCGAAGTGGGATTCATCGCTCATTAACATTTCTCGGTGAAACTAGTTATTTTGTGTATTAAGCTGCAATATTGCATGACTGACTGACAATTTTGTATGGCCGCAAATGCAAGTCTTTTTTTTAAGATAGTGCATATGACGTGCGGCGAATACCCAGTTACCCAGAACGATATCTGGTAGACGTCTCAGGGCGCTCCATTACACTTTTACGAACTCTTTCGATATTTTCCGGTGTACGATCAGTTAGAACCCGGCCTTGGTAAGTCTTTAACTTCACCTGTTTGTTCAAATTTCCACACTAACACACGAATGGTATTGACACTGGGCACATTATTTCGACCGAAATCTTGTCGTAACTTCCTAATCGTTGCAACAATCGATTCATTAAGTAAAACGTTTTAACAATACCGACAAGTTGTGGGATCGTGTAGCGCTCCATGATTAATTGGATACATGTGCTTTAAACAACTACTACGGCGCCACCTACTGAAATGCGTGTATCAAAAATGGCGCGCAATTTAAATCAGTGAGTTATATATTGGCCACCCTGTACAATCAATGTTTTATACTTCCACTCCAATGATTATGTTCTTTCGATATTGTGATAAAAAACATGAAAAATATGCAAAAAACATCTCCGTTTCCGAGATATTGGACCACGAAGTTTGACGAAAAATAAGCACATCAGCGTAAAGCGAATAAATATTCCCCGAGACATGCGACGTGTTGAACACTGTTTAACAAAACATATCAAACGAGTATTTTTGGAAATCTATCCATAACGCGATCATATTTTACACGAACCGACAAAATTCATTTATAACATGCGTTTGTTCGGCGAGTGGGTGTACAATGCAAAATAAATCAATAAAATGGGTATAAAAAAGACACGTTATTTTTTATCAAAGTATATTAAAAAGATCTAATTCAACATTCAACAATGAAAATAAGAGTCAAGTATGGTCAGATTGCAGTTTATATGTAGTTTAACAATTTCGTATTTTGTACGCGAAGATGAACAAGTCCACGAATGTCGTATCAGGATAAATGTAATTTTATTACCCACGCTTAACTTGCTCTTTAGCAAGCTTTGCACAACTGAAGCTTGCAATACAAAAAAAGCCTGATGCATCTGTTGGAATATATTTTTCAGGAGGGTAGAAAAACTACTTTCACATACCCAGGAAGGGTATATAAGGATTTGATTGAATACGACATTCCATTGGATGATGTACAATTTCAACAGCATTATAAACTTAACCGAATGCTGAACTCGAGTCATCAACGGTTCAAATCGTCGGTGTGTGTGAAATTGAGCTTTAGATCCTCAAAAAATTAGTTGCCACTTTATAAATAATTCTTCACTGGTAGTAATCCGCATTATCAAAAAACAATTTACTAAATACATATAAGCAAGATTCATGCGCGGACCGTACGGCAACTACCTATTGAAGAATATATAGTTTGAATCTTTACAATTAAGCATGTAAAAAATTTCTTCGTAATGATCTCTCAACATTCGTGATAACATGGCACCCAGTGTTTCATATTGGATAATAAATTCGTTTTTTTTATGGTCTCCAATATCGGACGGAATATACGGTACTCGTACAACATATTTTGGATTTAGTTTAGAAGCTCATCAGAATAGTGCGGTGTTCGGCAATAATGAGTATTTACATAAAATATCACAATGAATAGATTTTGAGAATTTTTTAATCTACTAACAATTTTTTGGTTATCAAATGGAATGCAAAGAAGTAAAACCCTATGGAAATTAGATTAGAGTTGTAAGATATGGCACCATTTGTAAGCAACCAATCTTTTTCAGGTATAATGTTTTCAACAATTGTATAAGGCAACGATGAATTACAATAGGATTGCATCGTTAATATTCCAACTAACTTATCATCACATATCAAGGAACTTCCCAATGACATCTGAAAGAAAAAAAAATATTTTGAAGAGGACCCATCACTCTCCATAAAACCATTGATTAAGGTATTCTCCAAGAAGATGCCCAACCATATGCCGTATTTGGACGTTCATAATTTCCATCGTCACCGTCATGTTTCCACGTATGAACCGCAGTACTTCCTTTAGAAACATCGAAAACATTTTCCTTGACATCACCTTCCAACCTGCCTCGTAATTATTTCTAAGGTTTTTTACTCTCAGAATTTCTCAACGATGGAAAGGGAAATATTATAACCTCCGCCAATAGTCAGAAAAGCGGCAACGATGACACCTAACTACGGTCGGTAGGCATATAGTTTTTTAGGAGTATCCATTAAGGTAGAATAAAAGCTGATTATCTAGTCAAAATTCCCCATACCGAAAAGTGATATGAAAAGTTCCTTGGTATAGAAAAATAACGTTACAAGCAAAATGGCTACCAATGATCATGACATTTCAAGTCGGGTGGGAATAAAATATAATAAACAGGTTTTTTCTATGTTACCTACTTTTTAAAAGTCGAACCACCAGATCATTTTAAAGGGTAATGAAACAGTGATATTTGAATTTCGTTATAATAATGACGGACAACACAATCTCGTAATCAACAAATCCAAGATGTACTATAATAATTTTCTGATAAATTTTCTATGTGCACTTCGTATATTTTATTGTCAAAATTCCCAGACAAAGTATCCAGATGAACAAAAGCCCTGGGTACGGTACTGAGTTATACCAGATTTGCACCCGATTCATTATTGCCAACGTTACATACATAATTTTGTATTAACTTGCTGACCATCTGTTCACCTCAGTAGGAGGCAAATCGTTAGGGATACTCGTGGCATAGGCTGTAGTTGAAGTATAAAGTCGTTGGCGGCGCCGCGGTACGTGTACTTATTGCGCGCGCAAGCACGGCTTTCATTTGGGTTGGGTATCTTCTGGTGGAATATCTTAACGATTGGTTAAACGGTGAGCGTTTTCTTTCGGGAAAAATGTAGCAGTACTTATGTATCAATAATTCAGCCCAGAATGGTAATAAGCCAAATCTAGTCGGGCTTAGCTGTACATCAAATGCGATACTGATTTTGCGCGAGTGACCACAGTAAAAGTGATGGTTCGCATCGATCTCGAAGACCGAGGCGTGAGACTAATGGCATAGCACTCGTGCAAAAAGTCTGTGACTGTAGAATATTCATATTTAACTGGCTTTATTATTTGGTCTTGATCGCACAACGGACATGCTGTTGTTGTTGAATTACCATTTCCTCGTTTCACTAATGCAATGAAAAATATAAAGTTCATAGCTTACACAGACAAATGGTAACGGAACTTTTACAAATTACGTCTATAAAAAAAAATATATTTAAGAGCACTGTAAAAAACAAGAACCCTATAAAATTTTTAAAAACTAGACCGCTTGATACGATCGAATCCGAGAGCGGTGATATGGCATTCGGTTGTAAAACCTTTAGACTTAACCCTGCTCTTGATTAATCATTGCCACATTAAAAGATTTCACAGGCAAAACGTTTATGTCCATAATCACGTAACTACATGATGTCCGAAAAGTTCCAAAACCCCACTATAGTTTGTGAACTAATAATGATAGGATTAATAGGACTTTCCCCTGGCTGTCCAAAATGGTGATTGGATTTGAGCTTAACCACGACATTCAAGGTCATGAAAAGGTAAAGTCGATTCACTTAAATGGAACCCCGCATTTTTGACCTCGTAAATGGAAAGATCGGAAATTTTACTTTCATATATGGTCTTGACCATTCTCAAACTTTGATCTCAGGAGGCCATGGTCAAGCTCAAAGCCAGTAGTCGTACAAGCAAACTACCGAGACATTATTTTCATGATTTTTCCCGCATATCCAACGGTGACAGTGGCAATGACCTTCAAAGTAATTTTAAGATCAACTTTTTTTAGCGGGACCCTATACCCTATACGGAAACGGAGAAAAGGGAAAATTTTATGTTCGAATATGTCCTTGTTCATTTTTGGAACTTGACCTTCGTCAAGGTCAAACACAAGTTTACCTTAGCTTCATGATAATTCAGAAAACTGTAATCCCCAGATAAAATGACTTCACTGTTCTCTAGAGCTCTTCCCTGGTTACAAAAATCGACTTGACCTTTACATCACCTTGTAGGTCATCTCGGTTAAGATCAGATCCTATAGAGTAAAAAATCAAAGCAATCCTCCCCAAAACTTAACTAGCATGACCTTAGTTTCAACACTAGTCTACGTAAAGTAACGGTGTCAAGTCTTACATTGCACATGGCACTTTCTGCATCCACTTTTTGTATACACATGGCATTTGAGGAGCTACTGTTGCAGCTCACTATATTCACATCCATCGATCTAAGGTCTCTCGTTTCCTGCAATATATTTCTGAACATTACGTTGAAATAAACTTACAACTAGTTTACCTTGTTCCACCCAACAATAGTACAGTTTTCAGTACTATTAGAACTTTGGCTGAATGATTCTGCTAATAAGACGTAGTCAAGTACAATCGAACTGTTATCAGACTGCGATTGTGTGCTAATCTGAAACAAATACAAAAGGTTAATTTAACCAATTTTTGGAAACCTGGATGAATTTGTGGAATCTCAAGATTTGCCATTTTTTGTTGTTAATTTTTGTGCTCTTCAAATGGTTTCGGGCATGCATACTAGATCAGGGTGCCCCAACCTATGGTCCGCCAGTATATTTACGGGGGTCTGCAGTCTCATATCTGGACCATTCAACAGTAAACGCCACCAAGTCTAATAATTGCTGGCTTGCATACTTAGAAAAGCGATCATGCCTTTCAATTTTTAATCACCGACAGTTTTCACGCTTTTCAATTTTTCCCATTTTCGAATCATTCCAGAAATCCCGATATTTGAATCGAACTAAAGATCTGATACCCCAAAATCAATTCTTATGTCACTTTTGGAACTAAGCGTAAGTGAAATACATATCTGATAAAAATATAAATTTGAAATATGAATTCTGGACTGAAATGGTCATGTTTGAAATCGTGTCTATTTATGGATATATGCATATGAAGTCACTGTTGATCTGCTCTATGGATACTTGGTATTGCGGCTGCTAGACGGGTCTACCGTTTTGGCGGTGCGACATCTAACTGTGTACTGAGCAGTTATGGGCCCGTAACGTAGAGTTTTTTCGTCTTCTTTCATCGTACCGGATTATGATCCACTTGGTAAGTGGAGATCGTCAGATTTTTAGCCTATCTCCACACACTCTAATTCCCGTTCGCATATCGCCTATTGAGGGGACTGCGGGCGCAACGAAATGAGAAGAGATGCGATCGACCTCGTGGCGTAGTTATTATCTTTTTATCACTCGGCGCTAGAGGTTACTGTATGTCTGATTATACAGACGACCGGTGAGGATCCCTCTCCTGTCTCCAATGCATCCCAAAACAGTTTGGCAATATCCGATACCCAACAGTGGATCTCGTACAAACTCGTAGTTACAGCGTTGGTCGAATGAGGCATAAGCGTTGCGAATTATGTCCCTGTCTGAAATGTAATGCTAGTTTTAGAATTTTGTATACCGGATTGTATCAGCGGGCCACCGAGCACCCGTGTTTGTAGCCGACGATCTACGTGTCTCTTCTTGTGCATTATTCAATTGAAGCATTTCGCATAGACGTTGTGGCCGAATATCAGCGCAGCAATACAATATTTTATGCTAATGTGATTGACCCTGCTTCTACCCCGAGAAAGCAGTTACAATAAAAAAAAAACAAAAGCAACATGACGGTTATAACCACACAAGGAATCAAAATCGTTTTACTTCGACTTTTCTTTCTGTTTCCAACAGCAAAATATTTTCGATTATAATAGATTTTGTACTGCCAAACAGTGTGAAAAGAGTGACACTTATAACTAATTTTCAACTCACCTTCAGAAGTGCTAAGTTGTTACCAATCTGCATCTTATTGAACTTTGGATGATAGGTAATTTCAGATACTTCATACTTCGATAATGGCTTATCATTTAAACTGCTGATACCTGTATGTACTATTACAACAAGGTGTGGCATTTGACCACCCCAATCGTAGTACAAACATTGACCTGGAGTCAACACTGTGCTATTTGAAACAGCAATTCCTCCACAAAAAAATTCGTCACCATTGAATGATGTATGCAGTGATACCTTAAACAAATTATTTTTCTATTACCTTGACTATTCAATAACTGTGTTTGAAAATAACACGACTAATTTTGATGTTAAATACTGCAAGATATGTATATGCGACATACATTTTATGGAAACATAACATTTTTTTGAGTTACATCCAGCTATTATCTGATTATTCAAATGTTTGACATTCACTGATAGAGTAATGTAAACTTAGTATAAACTAATGACTTTAGACAGGAAACTAGCATACACACTGGATTTCTCAGTATTTTAAACATTGATTTGATGTTTGCATATTTAAATAAAACAAACTTTTCTTAATTGCATCAAGTTTGAAAATATTCTTCAAATAATAACAAGCGTGACGTTTTTACGTTAAACAAAGAAATTTGTGAGCAGACGTATCTCCTTTTGAATTTTAGCCTAACCTACAAGTACCTTTCATCACTATGCATTGTGTTAGTGCAGAAGCACAAATTATATGTAATTTTTGTAAGAATGTAGCCTTGAGAGTATTTTTGAAAAGGTAAAGGTGCCTCTCGGTTCACTTATGAGGATCAAAAAATCCTCAAGACTTGAATGAAACTCTAAATATATTAACATACGATTTTCAATTAGAACATGATAAGTATAAATCAGACAAGAATAAATCTAGAAACAATAATAGATTTAATCCACATCAATTAGTTCGCCACACGACGAACAGTAATTATAGGAATCCCCACCAAAGTATTCCGCAACGACCATTTTTACAGACAATTTGGTCAGACCAATCAAGTTCGACCAAACAATTTTAACCAGAATAGGAAATAGGTATTTCGTTAGTTGTATATTTTATCAACTTAGTAATTGCCTCTTTTCCTTCAGAGTTCATATGCGCTGTCCTAATGTCCGAATTTATGTATATCCTCTGGATCAGTATTTTCTGATAATTCGTAATCTTCAAAATTTTCTATATCGATTTGTTGAGATCAATTCTTCAGATAAATTTAATACTGTGCAAATTTCTTCGTGATTCTTGACTACACAAAGATATGCAGGAATTTCTCAACATGATAATTTCCTGTATAGAATATTCACCATTTTCAACATTTTTTACGTTAATCTTAATTATTTATTCAGTTCTAGGTAGAAAAGTAATTACGTTTGTTGAGTTCTTTGTAATTTGATGACATTTTAAGGGTATCCGTGCTGTAAGCGTACCTAATTAAAAGATCATGATTTAAATCTATGTTGGCGTTCAATCTATCCTTCAGATTATCGAGCCCTAAAAACATTGGAAATGTTCGTGGAATTTGAATAAATAAATTTACATAAGAATATTTGCATCCTTAAAAATTTTTGGAGAAAGTATTCTCATCCTAAATTTCTGAATGTTTAAAAGACTTAGTACTTCCTGTATCAATAAGTACTTTCAGATTATGTTTTTGAAATGTATTGTAACATACTGCAACTATCAGGTAAGCTGATTATTTCATCTGAAGTTGGTTTTGCGTTGACTTTCGCAATTCCGAGGCTTCTTCGCCTAAAAAATCTTCGGAGTTACTCTTTTGAGAATGTTGATGCTCATAATAATTTGCATCGCTTGGAAATTCGACTACTGGTTACTACCATATTAAAAGCTTGTTCTGGAATTACACTTGGTCTTTGGAAATTTCTATTTCAGAAATATGGATTCCACTGATATGTTTGACGAGTTAATGTACGGAGTCGGTGTAGGTAAATTTTGGTGAATGACCTGATTTGGTCTGAAAACATTAGTATGATGAATTGCTTTGCTAAAAGCTGCTCAGTCATATCAAACCCCTGCACGAAATTTGTACCCAAGTTAGTATTTACCAATCTCCTAATCGTATATTAGCCAATCATAAAGCAGAATGCGAGAAGTCAATAACTGTAGATGATAGTACAGAGTCATGTAAATACACTAAGCTTCAAACAGAAGGGAATCATACAGATATAATTCCAGGAATCAATCAATATCTAGCAGTATTTCTCACTGTAGAAGAACTGAAAATAAAATGCAAGGACCCAACTGAAACAAAGTCATTACTTGGCATTTTCTTAGTCAAAGCCACTGAATGCCAATCATAACTCCACGACATTGACATCGGTTTTCAAGATAAAACTTATGGGAAGCCCCTCGTATCTAAAGAAATGGACTTCCAGTTTATGAAACAAAATAAACCATAAACGAAAACTGCTTTGAAAACGTTGAATCTACCAGAACTCTTAAGTTAGTAGAAAACCTTGTATTTGCGCCATAATGTTTTATTTCATATTTTCAAGTACTTGATGCTGTATAATGTGATACAGAAGATGAAAAATCAAGAAGCATCCAGGTTAGAAATCAACATTGAATTAGCGGAAATGAAAGAAGGTCCAAGGTCCCCAAAATGTACTGGTACAAGACATAAGAAGATATTCACCTTCCAGGGAAATCTTCATTCTAGGGGTGGAGAAGTTATGCACCAGTCTACATCGGAGAAACAGCCAAATTAACACTTCTGCCTTCGCGAAACATTCTTATCAGTTTCATTTGTTCTTTTCTTTGCATTGTATAACGTACTTTTCATTTAGTCTCGATTCAGAAGTCAATCAATAAACATCTCTTTGTACTCGATTTCTATCAATTACGAATTAAAAAAAAACTTCATACGGAAAAGTGACTCAAGTTGCATGAAACAAGAATTGATTAAAAATCTTTTCAGATGTCCCTCGCCATTTTGGGAAGAATTTTTGAGGGGCTGAAAATTGGCGGTTGGAAGTATTCGGATGTGGGGATTGTAAATATTGCATTGTTAACATTAGTGAAAGACATTTGATTACTGAGAGGCTTCTAACTCTGGTAATTCTACCAGTGAAGGTATGTGTCAGACAAGGTACATATTTATCCATGCACCTTGATTTATTTCACAATATTTAATTTTGAAATATATTGTAGTTAAATGAACAGTAAAGTAGTGAAATTTTGAATCTACTTAGGTACCTTGGTGATACAACCATTTCTTGTGACACATGGGCACAATAGCTAACATTTTTTTGAAACAATTGAGGATTGTAAAAGGTGGATGAACATAAGTCTTTTCATATGATGCTTAATGAATGCTGTACCTGATATGGAAATTCATCTGGAGAAACTGCTTTTCCAATTGTAGCCTGTCCTACTGTTTTGCTAGCTGGAGATTCTTCAGAGGAATATGCATATCCTGTAATCAAATAAATCTTATAAAAAAATTATATCTTAAATCTTTTTTGCCCTTGGAGTAAGGCACATGCCATACCTTCTGAGAGAACACGAATATGAAAAAACAAAAGGTCACCTTGTAGTGTAAAATACTTGTGATTTCACCTTTACAACTAATATTCAGCATGATAGTTTGGACAGTAACCGTACAAATTTCCAACACACAACAAAACATTGATTCTAAAATAAATACAATAACATAGGCTAGTCTAACCCTTCATTTTATTTACATAGTATCAGTATGACATAATATTCTCCGAGTCCAAGTCAGTGCGTCATTACATTAGGCAACACTATACTCTTGCAAGCTTCGAGGCCAGTAGGTAATCGTGTAGTTCAAACAAACGACTCACTGAAGTCAGATGACGGATGTCTCAAGCCTACTGTGGAGTATACTCCAGAAGCCTTCCTATGAATTGCAAGTGGTCTATGGGTAAACATGCCAGTGTGATGTAGGTCGAATTAGCTGGCATAACCTTAGCTGCAAAGGAAATTGCCCACAGGAATGTTACAGGCAAAAATATTAGGATCTGCACAGATATCAGACAGACAATACTGCTTTTCAATTGTTTCAAGCTCTCAATATATAGCAATTTCCAACTGCATAATTCCATCTATGAAACATGGATATGCATCACAATGGTCTTGAGAGGTCTCTCACTGAATGATGTTTCTGCATTCCAAATAATTGATAGGATCATTAAGGGAATAGGGCATCACAAACTTCCCATTAACATAGTGGTTTCCAAGAGGAGAAGACTTATTTTTCCAGGATTTGCTATGCAACCAAGACAAAGATCAGAAACACTATTCTTAATTCTGTAAAAACTGTTTGCCTAAAAAATAATTGTACCACAATTACAAACTAAGGGTTTCCCTCTTCTCAGTCCCCACTCTCTATCCAACTTATTTGGGATGTAGTTGATCAAAATACAGCATTATATTGTCTTTATAGATACAAAGTTCATTACTATAGATTTCTGAAAATATAAATTTTTTTACTATACAGTGAAAACCATATACCACTAACGTCGTAATGTGTACGAGAGAGAAGCGTGCAATACGTGCACTCTTTCGAACATAAACAACTGCCGCATTGACGTTCTAAATGACTCCCGGGATAGATATACGTTTTGATAGTTGAACTTTTCACCTGGATTGTGGCCTTGCCAGCTCATCGGACGATGTTGCTACCTCTGCTATCACCAATTCCTTGGACCGTTTGTTCGAGGCCTTGCTAATAGTTTTGAGATTTTTCAGAAATGAATGTAAGTACATAAGAATACTTACAAGAACGTTAGACTAGTGCACGTTTCTGTAAATTTCTTTTTATAATAATGTATTACAGGGTGGCCAAAATAAGGATCAGACTCGATTAAACTCACTAATCACAAAATGTTACATCAAGCATTTGTTTGCATCGCTTACTTAAATATAATGAAAAAGAACAAAAAAATACCTTTGTTTAAAACTAAACAATAAATGTAACATGATACATCGTTGAAGTCGTAGAAAAAGCTGCTATTAGATACAGTGGAGCACTTTTTTAAAAACACCATCATGTAGTGCCTAAATAGGGCCATTGGTTTTTTGACATTTCTTAAAACAGAGTCAGACAAAAATAAAAACGATTTGGCCAAATTTTAGTTTTTCCCAAATACCTCAGTATATGACTAATTTTTCAGTGTATGCAATGTGCGCAATTTATTTAAAAAACATAGGATGTCAACCCTAACACACAAGTAGATGAGTATGCAAGGCTCACCTATAGTTTCCTACACATATATCCTGTTTCCCTCAGACGAGTTAGAAGTAGACCTAATTTCCACTTTGGAGACACTTGACACCCACGTCACAACGCCAAGGTACCACTGAGAGACAATCAAGGACCCTATAGTGAACACTACTACTGAAAAAATATAGTTAAACCGAATAGAACCCTGTACGGAGCTGCGAACGCGTAGACATTCCGCTGCGCCGACGGTTGCCGAGAGACTGGAGCGTGCGAGTGGTGTACCTCGCTGTGGCGATACTGTAGGGCCGGGTAGTACAGGCACGCCCCTTTCCGCTCCCACTGCCCGCGTCTGCTCCCGAAGCGACTCGTGTTTACCTTGACCCGCAGCAGACGCGCGGAGTGGGGTACAGCACTACAGGTTGGATGGAATACAAATGAGTTAAAGAAGATAAGTTAATTTTTATTATTTTGTGAACCTAACCTAAATCATAACGTACATAGGCTTGCTCAATAGCAATGTAATAATAAAGACAATGTTTTAATCTATTCTTCTTTCCTTTTAGATTAATTCATACTTGATTATTTTTCTTTTAATATTATTGATAAAGTAGTACCTTGTTATGTACTTAATTGGAGCAACACTGTATTGATTACAGAGTTTGGCTAAAATAGGCGAATGCAGTAATGAAGTTTATGTGGTTATTACAGTGTTTTAAAATGTGTATAAGAACCTATGTTTTTCGAATATCAGCGAATCTGTTTAATTACTCACACATACGAAATATTTGAATTTGTTTAGAAGAAAAAAGCTAACCCTTCGTTTTTCGCATAAAAACAACAATGATCTTTCGAATGGTTTGTGATTTATGTCAGCAAGGTAAGCTCGTGTATTATGTTATGAAATGCCCTTTCAACGAACCCTGTATATTGCTCAGTAAACTAGTAGTGATGGCAGGAAGACAGGTGTTTTGGGATAAGCATTTAGAAATTCTCAAAGACTACTTGACCAATCGATTCCAATTTTGTTGTAGTTACTTAGAAGTATGATACCTACGGATATGAAAATTTTCAAGTAGCTGTGTGAAATTATCGTCGCATTAGCAGCAAATGCCAAAAACCTGCATTTTGCCTCGTTTTTCGACCATAACTTTCTTACTATTAAATGGATTTTTAACGTGTGGTCTCATTCTGTAGGTTTTATAAATTAGTAAAAATCTTATTTGGAGAGTTTTTTCGTTGCTGCCAACACTTTCGATTGAATCCTAAAAACACGTTTTCCCTTCTTTGTTGTCGAAGAAAAAGTTTTCCCACAAAAATTGGTGTACCCATTTTATGCGTCGATGTTTAGTTCCGTTAGTTTAAGTCGTGCATGAACCCGACATAAAATACCCCCTTGAAAAACTTGCATCAATAAAACTAGACTTTACAATGATTTCGCAAACCAGGGGTATTTTCGCGTAATATGGTTAGACTATATGGGATTATGCATAGTGTACATAAGATGAACACTTACCCAACTGAGGTATAATAATACTAATAAATAAAAGTTGAAAAATTTCCCACATTTTGTTAAAGGAAAACTAAACACACAAAAAACCTACTCGAGGTGTAGTTGATAAAAATATGAGGTTATGTTGTGCACGAAACGTATACATAGAACCACAACCTTGAACTAGAAAACAGAAAACATTAGCACACGTTAGTTTTTTATTATAATACCACAGATTATTAGCACAGAGAGTGATCTGTGCTGCAGATTTCCTAGATTCCTGGTACCTCTTGTAACAGCGCCATCTGACGATTGCACCGCTCACTAACCGATAAACGAAACTAAAAGGATTGTTTACAGGATTCTAATCAGTGCCGCTGGCTCTCCCTGTTATCCGCGTATTGCATTATATTTATAAGCAAATGTTGGCGTTTTATATTTGGTTAACTTAAAAAAATATGTTGTATTCCTTATAGTTACTATAGGAACATACAGTTCCCAAGTTTTGGTAATTCTCTAGCTTAAGAACACCAACCTTATTTGTTTGTCCGTCAGAATAGACACTATATAACACAATAGGTTTGGGTCGCAACTGATGGAAATGAGATTAAAATGCCCCCAAATGGGTAGGTTGTAGGGCCCGGGTAAAGATAACATGGTCACGCAAGGCAACAGATGACATATACTCTACTAGGCTCAATAACGGCCAGAGTAAAGATAACATGGCCACGCAATACATTTGTTGAAATATAATCTACTGCTCTAGAGCAGTGGTCGCCAACTTTTTCAGTGTGTTGAGCTATAGGTACTTTGAAAACTTAGTCACCGACAGGCCACCGACCACCAGCGTTGTCAACCTCATCGGAGAGAATTACTGTATATGATCTTGATAAAACTAGATTACACTGTAAAATATTATTTAAAGAATGTACAGTATTTTTCACAAGTATCCATCGCGGACCAAGGTCAAAAAGTAACAGTTTTGCATTACTTAAGCAATTTTTTTTTGAAGTGTTGTGGCTCTGGTTGGCTATGAATGACATAAAAATGACATAACTTTCATTCAAATTTTTCAAAACTCATTCAATGCCAACCAGAACCCCAACCGCTCAAAACGAATTTGATTTTTGCATGCATGATCAGCTGTCTTTTTTGACATTGTTCCGCGATAGATACTCGTGAAAAAGACTAGGTATATTGCTTACGAATAGCACACTCCTACCTTAACTCAAATCAAGTTCTTTTCGCAGTGGTTCTGATTCTGGTTGACCTTGAGTGACATAAAAATGTCAAAATTTGAATTGAATTCTGTCATTTTCATGTCGCTTAAGGTCAACCAGAACCAGAACCGCTGCAGAACGAATTTGATTCAAAGTAGATTTTACGTATAATATCTACGATCTGGCAAGTGGTAGATTTTACACGACCGAGTTATTGGATGGACTTCCGACTTCGCAGTAAACAAAACAGACGGCACGAGCATCTTAAGGAAAAACTGTAGAATTGAAGGCACTGAAAATATGAAAGATTTTTGAAAAACTGTAAGTCTACAGTTAAAACTGTACAGTTGGCAACCCTGCCAATACAAACCGAAAACTGGGAATTTATAAAAGTGTTCAGAGTCATTAACGTTCTACCGCATAGACACCCCACCCGGAGAGTTGCCGGAGTATTTTTTATTACGAGTGGTCTTGACATTTTCGGACTGAATAATGGACCCAGATTCAGTTGCAGCGTCCCAAAAAACGTTGTTGGCCTCACGTGACCAATTTTTTGCAGTGTTGGAACTATAGGTACATATACCTACATGGTAACTAAAAATTAAAATGCTAAAAATGCGGTTCAAATGACCTCTATCGTACTTTTTTTTTAGTCACTTAAGCCAAATCCGTTGTCGTTTCACATGTATCTAATCCCGTTAAACATGTAGATCTCATTACTTAGCGAAACACTGCAAAACTTAACGTTTTTTGCAACTTTAAGGTGCAAAAAATCCATTTTTATTATCGATTGCTACATGTGAGTGGAACTTTGTAGTAGTTTGGAGCTCTGAATATGAGCATCATAGAAAAACCATTCTAAAGGGTCATATTGGGCCATTCTTATTTGGGGTGAAATTGGTAAGAAACGGGGGCTACCCGTGAATCCTAGCACTAAATTGCCATCAAATTTGGAATCTACGCACAAGTTACCTAGAAAACGAGCTTCTATCTATATAATAGACTCGCAACAGCTTTTAGAGATTTTTTATTGCTCGTTTTTTGACAAAGTGGAATTCTTGACATTATCTCGAAAACGAGGATTTTTGGACTGAATTGACCCCGGATTTGGTTTTAGCGATCCAAAAAACATATTAAAAGAATGGTTGGGTTAATTCTCGACTGACACATCTTTGCAATTTTAGAACATAATACCCCTACAAATTAAAATGCTTTAAGCCAAATCTGCTGTCGTTTCACATGTATCTAATCCCGTTAAACATGTAGATCTAATTATATAGCGAAAAATTGCTAAACTATGAGCCGCCAACTGGAATGACCTAAAGTTTTGTATGTGGATTTACCTGAGTATTGTCCACATCTAAAAGTCTTTACTTAAAATTAACATGTGATGGAGATTCTGGGGATTAGTGGCATTTTAGGGTTAATTGGAAGAACAGATGCGTGTCACATCAGTGGCGGACATACGAACTTCGCAAAACTCTTTTTTTATACAAATGTATGTTTATTGGTTGATGTTTGGCGAATAAAAATATTTAGTATTATTATTATTATTATTATTATTATTATTATTATTATTACTATTATTATTATTATTTATCCAAATAAAGATAGTACCACACTGTTTTTTTTTCGAACGAGCAACTTGTCGAATTTTACTTTCAATTTGCTACAAATTACAATTTTATAATTTGAGTTTAATTACACAACTTTTTGAAACAGCTAAAAGAAAAAAGGACATTGAAATGAAATTTGTTCAAAGTATTTATTATACAAAATTCTCGGGATAAAGACTTACGTATAAATAATAGTGGCAAGATATATTTTATTTGAAAAAAAGTTCTAGTCACTAGAACTCTCTGATTTGCTGTCACTATCTTCCTCCTTCACGTTTATGATAATTGGTAAAATGTCAGCTTGGTCTAGATATTTTTCTCTTTTCCACCATCTCGGAATCTCGTCTTCAGTATGTGATATACATTATGACCAAATTTCGGCAGTATTTCGATCCACATGTTTGTTATAGTAGGACTTCGTTATGTCCCAAACATTTTCAATAGGGTAAAAAATGCAATAATAGGGCGGTAATCGTAATACTTTATGTCTGTTCGGCTAAAGCATCAACAACATATTTTATAGGCGGTTTGTATTCCTGTACCTACCTTTTCAAATTCTGATCATCCTGTCACTGTTGTGTAACTCCAAACACAAGAAGAGGTGTGTATTTCGAAAATGTGTGGGGTGGAATCCGAGTCGAAAAATCGGGAAACTGCTGTTCCAATATGTTATCTAGAAACGTCACAATACTTGTTTGATCATGCTGACTTGCCAAAAGTGAACCCTGCTGTACAAGAAACAAAAGAATTGTAGACTATGAATAGACTTTCAAAATGAGAACTAATAGATACGTATGGCTGGTTTACTGCAATGGCTAATTGGTTATTACAAAAAATCGTTTATTTTTTGCCGAAAAGTGTATAAAAGTAAATATGAAGTAGTAGCCAAAAGTTGAAGCCTTTGTGGTGTCAAAATTGCTTAAGCTATCCAGCGACGTAACGTTTGCAAACAAATTAGGCATGCAGGGTGAGTTTTTAGTATGTAACTGGTTAGTATCTCCATTACTACAAAATATAATCAAAAAAGTTATTTACAAAAATTCTGGATATCTATACGCAAACTATACAGGGTGATTGAAAACGACTTAACTGAAACATCTTTATGCTGCTTCAAATAAAGAAGTTTTGATATAGCTGGGGATGTAGCGTATTCTACTCATTCCGGAAACAATTTATTCATTGTTTTTCTACTATTACTTGAAATTTAGTCAAAGAGCCAAAAATAGTTTGATAGAATATTACCTAATTTCTTCTAGAGTGATTTGAAAAACAAATTTATCGTACTTTAACCATTGTCATCTTATATACGGTAAGATATACGGGTCGGTTTAATTGTGGCAAAGTTGCGTAAAGAAAACATTTGGAAAGTTTGGACGCTCCGAGTATCTCCGGGGTTACACGGAAAAGGTAACAAGTTTTTCCAAAATCCTTCATATTTTTTTCTGAATATTTGAGATAGGATTTCAAAATAAACTGCACATTAATGTTGCCACTTTTTGACGTCTACAAGGTGGCATAAATTCAGAATTCATGATTTTTCCCCCGGCTCAACTTTGATTTTTTTATGTGTGCCTTTTTTGGATAGGCGAATTGTTTTAAATTCCGATTTCAAATATTATAGCATTTCATACATTAATATTGTAAAACTATATAAAATGTTCTTGAGTAAGCCTTGAAATTATCATTTAGTCATTTATTTCATAAATTTCAAATAACATTTACAAATTTTAACTGATCCTAATATAATTTACCGTCTAACAGATATTGATTCAGTTTGCGGAGAACCCCGTACATGGACAATTTAATTTTTACAAAAAACGTCTTTTTCATTTGATTTTTGTCGAGCGCCCCCCCCCCCCTCCTGGCCCCCCCTCGGTACGGCCATGATGGATAGTATATAGATGGAATTACACGCACGACACGCTTCTTGTAATATTTTTTGTTGAAAAAATATATTTGCGATGCCTATTAGTCAAAAAAGCATCTGGTTTCTTCTACAACCAACTGCCGATTATTGACATATAGTCTAATCATATTAGACCAAAATACCTCTGGTTTGCGAAATAATTGTAAAGTCTGGTTTTATTAATGCAAGTTGTTCAAGAAGGTATTCAAATCATGGACACATAAAATGGGTATACTAATTTTTGTAGGAAAACTTTTTATTCGATAACAAAGATTGAGAAAATGTGTTTTTTGGGATGTTTTGGTATGTTGTAGATCTGCCCTTCGCATATCGTCCCTATTTTTTTGTCGTACTTTTTACCATCAGACACTGTATAAAACTAACTCTATTTCCTGCTAAAACAACGTAAGTCTATAGTTTTTAGAGCGTTTTCCATTGTTATTAAAATAAACTGTAATTGATATCGAAATGTC